AATTAAGAAGCAATCAAAGAAAAGAAATGTGTTCCCCCAATCACACCTATATCCTTAGCTACCTTTGTGTCTTTATCGTCTGCATTCTCAGAACAGCATCCTGATACATCCCTTACTGATGTCTATTTTTTGGACTGATAACTTCTCCCTAATGAACTACTAAATGAAACACAAATATGTGATAGCAAATTAACCATAATCTTAAATAGTTATATTCATCAAGTAATTTTTTTCATAAATTCCAAGAACTTGGATTTTAAAGATATATTCTAATGTATGTATGTATGTATGTATATATGTATGTTTTTATGTATGTATGCATCTGTAGGGGTGATATTTAGAAAACGGTGCCCAGTCTGGCTTGTTCCAGGGCAGCCACCATGTTCTCGCTGCTCCTAGGCTCTGGCTAGCGAGATGTGCAGGCCCTGGCACCAATGAGATGCCAACATGGGGTATGGTTCTGCCAATCCACCACACTGCATCCACAAAGCTCAGATGAACCCCAGACAATATCTGCCATCCTCGCAGTACCCGGTAGAAATGAGACTCTTAAAGCTTAATGATTATCTTAAGGACTTATATATTTAGAAATGCTCAATCAACAAGATGCCCACACAATTAAGTTATTACCCAATATCTAACCTTTTGATAGAAGTTGCTATCCAGGACTGCTTTCGACCCATCCGTGGTTCTCCATGGCTGCTAGCCTCCTGCTTCTCCTCCCCTTCCTCTCTTTCTCCCCTCCCCTTGCTCTTGTCTTCTCCCAGCTCCACCTGCTCTCCTACTGCCTAATCACCAAGCTTCACTGTGAATATAACGTAGCAGAATAAATATCCTGCTACATGCATCTGTCTATCTATCTATCTATCTATCTATCTATCTATCTATCTATCTATCTATCATCTATCTTTCTATATGTCTAAGGAATATCTTCCTTATTTGAGAATGGTCTCAGTTAGTCCAGGGCTGCCTTGAACTTATAAGTAGCTGATGATGACCTTGACCTCCTGTTCTTCTTGCCTCAGCTTCAAAGTACTGGGATTACAAGTGTGTGCCACTGGATGCAAACAGACTAAAACGACAAATGAGACATCAGGTTTCAGATGTGAATGAGTCAACAAGAAACACATTCTAGGTAGAATGAAATGAATTTGAAAATGTTTCATGCATTTACTTAATCTTAATTATCTCTGATATAAGGTGTTACTCTTATATCTGTCATTTATTAACTGATACTTAATTGAGCAATTTCTCTAGGCCAGCTCTTTGAAAATGACCCCAATCTAGCTCTGTGGATAAAACATTGATGGAAACAGATCAACATACCTGCTTTCCAGAGTTAATCTTCTAGTGTAGCAACATATTTTTAAAAATCACATAAAATAAGATTTAAAATATTATGTGGGTCTATAAACGTTATGGGAAAAATGTCAGGGAGGTGATAAGTTCTGTTAAGGGGGGAGGCTCTAGTTATACAAAAAGTATGATCAGAGAAAGACTCCCTACATGAAAAAGGAATCAACTAAAAATCAAGAGTTCACTCATTTATTTTATTCAATAAATATTATGGACCAGTTCCTCTGTCAAGAGTTATACATAAATTCAGAATAATTTAATACAACTGTTTGAACCTCTGGTTGGTTTCATTTTAACGTCTCTTCCTGGTTATGCTTCATGTTCTAACAAATAAAATAATGATCACAGTATCATTAGCTGGGCCTAGTTGGTCTCCTCTTTCCCTATTTTAAAGTCAGTGACTACCCGCAGGCAACTAGCAGGAGGAGTTACTTTCCCTGTTTTACAATGAGAGACCGGTCTTAGAAATGTGATTGCCACAGTTATGAAATGAGTGAGCTGCAAAATCAGGACTCAGTAAAGAAACTATGACTCACTGGCCAAACTTGCCTTACCATGCACACAGCTGCCTCTCTAACTGTGAGAACCAAGAAACTTGCCAGAATGAACCTCCAGAATGAGCAGGCAGTGAGGCTATATACTGGAGAGCTATTCTGCTAACATATGCCAAGCCAGACCTTGTTAACTATGGAAACACTAAGACACAGATAATTATTAAGTGCTTATGGAGTAGTAGGACACAATGGTTTTCTAATCTTTGTTTTAAAAAATGGAGGGAAGATAAGTAGACACAGTGAGCAACTCGAGTCCAACTTTATACCAGCATAAAATGCCCAATGAATGGATCTTGAATATCTCAGCACCTAGAAGCATTATTGGGAATCATTTTTCATCATAATCCTTTACACATTGCATGCCTTGAAAAATATATATTTCATAAGTGTTTTTTTTCTGTTGCAAGTTTAATAGTTTTCTTTAAATATATTTCGATTTTACTCTTCCTTTTGAAAATCATGTACTTACATTGAAAATATTTAATTATTTTTCCTATTTTTAAAAGCAACAATAAAATATAGAATTTCTTTTGACTTCCTTGTGGTCATTCATATCCTACTTTAAAACAATGTAAATAGAATTAATAAAACAAAATAATCTCAAATTTAATATTCAGAGTGATGATACAATATTTGAACACTAAATATGTAATACGAATTTTATTATAAATGCATCTTATCAGGATATGAAGGAGTACTTTTGTTCTTTAGTTGACTTAGTAATCAATGAGGCCCTATTGGTTATATTAGAACAAAGTGGGTTTACTTCACCAAAAACTATTTCTCATTTTACATCTCATATACTGAGACTTATGTGCTCACACAGTAATGTGACAGATATGTTTTACAGTGATACTAATTCTGTGGACTATAGGTTGAATCAAAAATGCCAAAAGTTAACAGAGACTCTTTCACTTAAAGTTAATTCTAGTGGTTTATCAACCTCACAACTTTCCTTAGCTAATCACTTATGTATGCATGCATGCAAAGCTGTACTAGTGCTTATGTATGCAGATCTAGAAAGATGCTTGCATATAGAACAGCCTTAAGCATAGTTACAAGCTACAGGGATTTGTGTTCAGCTCCATAGTCTATAGAAATATGTGTTCACATATGGATATTTGACTTTAAGATGAAGAAGCATTTCTTTCAAGTATGGATATGAGTCTTAGCTAATAAACAATAAAATTGTTTGAATTAACAGATGGAAAATACCATAATGGGTAAAGTACATTGGGTTATAAATGTTGCAAAGTTCATCATCTCACCTAGTCTGGCTAATGAAATTGTAATTGCTCTTTGATTGAGATTCTCAGGAGAAACTTGCTTTACCTAAATCGTCTATACTTGGTACTGTATCTCAATGAAAATTGTTTGGAGTCTATCTCTATCTATCTATCTATCTATCTATCTATCTATCTATCTATCTATCATCTATCTACCTACTATCTATCTATCTATCTATCTATAATTTATTTATCTATCATCTATCTAAACTATTAAAACATAGTTTCATGTGAATCAAAGTTTCTAGTCACAACCAAATAGAATAAATAACAAGTGAGGCATTCAATTAATGTGTACCTTCCATATTTGGTTTACTTCTGTATATGCTTAAGATGGGTGTTTAAATAGGGCTTGCCCTTAACATTCATTCTTATAAGTTGGTTATGGTTGTAGGACGGCAATGATGATAAACAGTCTGAGCTCTCAGCTAACATCTTTAGGAAGGTGTCAGGATAGCTTTGCCATTCAGCATAATGAAAGGAGAGAGATGAAACATAAGAGCTTTGCAGTGTTCCTCCCACTCATCAGGTATAATTGCTACTGTGAAGTCAGCAATGGGTAATGGTATTTCTATGTATGCCTAGGAGAATGTCTAGGGATAATGTACATACACTAGGTGCTGTTAATTTATTCTCCATTCCCTGAGTTCAGATAGAGAATATTCCCATCCTCAGTAAATTCTTCTTCTAGTAACTTGATAACCTGAAGGTAACCATCTCTCAGCAACCAGTATTTGAGTGAGTTTACCTTGTTTTTCTTAATGTCAATGCAGACACAGCTTAAATATACTTTGAGTTAATACATTTAAGAGTTTAACTTCTATTCAAACTCTGGGCCAGCCTTTCGGCTCCTGAAAATTTAAAACTATAGAATTACCTCATTTTTTCTTGAAACCAATTAAGTGAATAGGTTCTATACAGAAGTTTCATTTACCAATTTAGCCATTGGAAATATCAGTCTTTGTACAGCAGAAAACAAGTGTATACCTCAGGTATATTAGGCAGGAGAGATTGATACCAGTGCCCAAATATTGAAGGGAACACTTCTCCTTCTGATAAGACATGGAAGGAGGCAAACGGAAGCATGACAACTTGTTATTAATTCAAGTATTTAACTACGAATCAGGCACTCCAGAAATCTACTCCAACTTGAGTCTAAAAGCAAACAGAACACAGAGTGGAAGCTGCTTGACCAAGAGCACTTCTGGGTCATTTTCATGTAAGCCCCAGTGATTTCCTAACGGTTGGAAAATCACCAACAACCTCAATTTATTTCTATAGTATTTCTATAGCATTATTTCTATAGTATACTATTACTATAGTATATTATTCCTATAGTAACTCCCTCTACAGAGCTCTCAGGAACCGACTGTGTAAAGATGACTTTCTATAACATCAATTTCAGTCCACTTCAGGTCAGTCCCTGACTACAGGCCACTATGATTTTTCACATTTAGGTTTAAGGTCACAAAGGGTAACTGCAGAGAAGGACTGAAGAATCTGTTTATGAGTTGTAATAACCTTGGGCTAGCATAGAGAAGTAGGTGTGGAGCGTGACTCACTGGGGTTTCCTTACCTGCAGAGAGGTACACAGCAAGTTTCAAGAGTTCTTAATACACCAGAGGACACTACCACCCCTCCCCCCTCAAGAAATAAACAACCTCCCTTTTGCTACTGCTACAAAGAACTAGCCTATCTCAAAATCAGCCAAAGCAACCTATGAAAACTAGAGGGTTGGACTTTCTTCAGACCTGAGTGAGGTGATATCCTATTGCTTACAGCTGAGAGGCAGGTCAGTCAGGTTCTTGGCTGTTCTATTACACAAGCAATACTGCCTGCCAGCCAGCCGGGTAGCCCCACCTGGTTTTGTTTCTCTAGCATCTGCCTGTGTCCTGCTCAATGCCACACTGTCATACTTAAGCCACCTGCTTTTTCATGTGCTGAAGACTTATTGCAGCCAGGCCAACTGTGATATTTTATTCCCCACCTGTAAACACCTGTTAGTTCTGAAGGTAAGTGTCTGTTCCTTGGAGCGCTCTCTCTCTCTCTCTCTCTCTCTCTCTCTCTCTCTCTCTCTCTCTCTCTCTCTCTCTCTCTCTCTCTCTCTCTCTCTCTCTCTCTCTCTCTCTCTCTCCTTTATCAAAGAGAATCAAAGTGACCTCAACTTTTGACAGAACAGTCAGGCAAGTAGCTACAGAGACTCTGGTATAAACAGGCCATTGTTTTCTTAGTTAATTACCTTCTAAGTGGACATTTGCACTGCTAAATGAATAAACTTTAAGAAGCACTGCCAAAGTTGCTAACTGACTAAACAGGCAGAAAAGTAATTTTAAGTGTATACAGTGTTTCCTTCAGCCAAGACTTAATGGAGCCATCAAAGCATTTAAATGGGAACTGGTGGCAGGAACATAGTTCTAAATTATGTGTTTAGGCTTAAAGTTTCTTTTATAAGTATAATATTTTTTGGGGGGTAGTTATGTTTACATAGAATGAATTATAAGCTTTTTTTACATCTTTTTCAATGGTGTTCTTAACTAAAAAGTTAAAAACTGTACATTTCATCATTTTATCTAGCATGCTTAGTACACTTGTATGGCATTGCCAGAAGTTTTAGAAGGCTAAGTCACTCACAGAAGACCTCCTGTGGAATGAGGATTTAGATAGAGTTTGTGAAAGCCATTTTCAGCTTGCCGCCCTGACCTACTTTCTCTTTGATTCATAGAGACTGTTTCAAAAGTCAGTGAAATGTGATAGAAGTTTAAAACCTCATGCCTGGGAATTTGGACTCAGAACATATCTTTTGAACACACATTCTTTCTAAGCTTTGTAGTCATCCACCTACTTTTTCACAGTCATGAAAATCATGACTGGACTCCTAAAATAGCAGGCAGGATGTCATTCTCTCTTTTTTTTCCTTAACTTGTGTTTAACTGAATCTTTTAATAGAATGATAGAAAAACTTTAGGGAATTTCGTACAAGGAAAATATCATTATACCTTTCTTTACCAAATAAAAAAATTATATATATATATTCTCCATATGTATGGAGGGGGCAGAAGGAGAGAGAGAAAGTTTGTGGTATAAATAGAATTTCTGACTTCTCGTGCTTCTAAACCCTTATATAAGAGAGTTCTAGAACATAATTTCTTACATTGTCATTAATGTGGCTCTACAAAAGACACTCAAAACTGAACAAAATTGCAAAAGCTACACAGAATAACACTCACGTACTCAAGTTCTGCCTGAAGTATTAGCTACACGGATGACTGAGCTTTTAATGACAAAGTAAACAAATAAATAAACCCATCTACATTGGGAAGGTAAGGTCTGTGAGAAGAAACAACAAAAAGCAGCTGGGCAAAGTGGTTCTATACCTCTTAGGGATTCACCACAAGAACATTATATGATATCTTCCATATACCTAAGCTGATGCTGTTACTTAAAACTCTGTTTTTGATTGGGTTAAGAATTAATATTATACTTTCTCTTGCATGAGTTTACAGCCAGACATAGCCAGGGTGCCTCCTTATTCTTAAAGCTTGGATAAGTAATATAACTCAATTACAAAGGGGAGGTTCAGCAGAATAATGACATTATACAATTAAGAGCAATCAAAATTAAGCACAGCAAGCAGGTTGGCCTCCATGAATATACGTTTCTCTTCTCCCAGTGTCTCCAAGCTTTCCGTGGTGATCTAGCCATGGGAAGCCACTTGTCAGAGTAAAGACTAACAAAAAGGAGAAAACTCTATTCATCCTCCCTGTGGAAAAATTATTCAAAAACTGAAATATACTCTTTGAAATTACATTTTAAGTGTTGTTAATTTAAAAAATTTTGTAAAAAATGTATCAATTTTTAGACGTTTAGAATATGTACTTAAGGTATCACAGCTTGCCTCAGAATTTTACCTTTCTGTTCCACATCTAGTGATCCTAGCCTTAGTTTTTCAAGCTTGTGATGGTTACAGGTCTCTTTTTGTTACACTTTCTAAACTTCCTTAGATGGTAAGCCCCAGTATTACTCCTACCACGTGCTAGAAGAGGCAAAAACACAAGAGAAAATATCCTGATTTTTTCTCTCTCTAAATATTCCATCTTTCGCTCATTTTATTACTTTCTTTCTATTATATAAGACAGACATCTAGCTGGTAGATGAACTTGGACAAACTCAAGCATGACGCAGTTCATGACCCAGCAAAATTAACTTAAGCTTAAGTTATTAAGCTTAAGATATACAAGATTGTTTAAATGCTTAGATTCTAGAAATGGAAAGAGGCACAAAGGAAAGTGAAAGAAGAAAAATGGAAATTTGATCCACTGTCTTCTAAAGGTTCCTAGTGTCCTCGTCACTTGCTCTTACTCTCTACAGTGCGCATTCTTGAGTTCAGTGGGAGCCGGAGATGCACAGTCCTAGCTTTTGCAAAGTGCCATAGCTAGAGTTTTTTAAAACCTGATGACTTAAGTTTTGGGCTTCTATTCCTGTAAGATGAGATGTGCCTGACTAGTATCTGTTACATGGTAACCCTAAAAGCCAGGGAGAAGAAGCAAATGCCACACATTGTCAGGATCATAGGTCTAAATCAGTCTTTGCAATGTTGTAGCCACAGCTGTATAATTTTTGAATTAACTGTATCTTGTATTCAGAAATAATATCTACTCCTGTCTTCCTTTATTCTAACTCTTTTTCCAGAAGATAAATTATAGGTAGCCACACTACTTTGGCTTATTTGAGGTATTGATACCGTAGGTTTTCAGGTTACACTCAAAAGTGAGGTGAAGGAAAGAGAGATGCCCTTGGTGGTTCAATGTTACAGGCAAGATGAACCGGACACAATAAAGCTCACTGTGTTGGCTGGTGATATGAGGATTCTCTTTACAGTATGGGGAGCAAGCTCAAGGCTGCTTTCCTCATGTAGCATTGAAAGAAAATTAGAATACCCAAGGGCCTTTTCCCTGCTTCTGATGATCAAAATTTTAGGACCTAAATAAAGAGAATGTAAAGCAAGTGACATAATAAAGATTGAAAACATGACCAAGTGCCATGCCTACAGTAGCGCACAGGCAGTAGGTTAAAAGAAAGACAACTCTCTGTATTCTGTGATCTGTACAGATTTCTCTGGAGAAAAATACCTCCAAAGTATACATGTAACTACACCAAGCTAAAACACATTGTAAATGTACCTACTACATAAGGCCATAACTGGATGGAATATTGATCAACTCTAGGCCCCCTAAAACTATTTTATGTTTTCTTCAGTAGATCATGCAAGATGCTATACACAATGTTGTTGGAGTTTCTTATATTAAAATAAATGTATATTCATCATGTTCGAGAAGCACTTAAGATATGTGTATTTACATTACTGGGGTTTGCAGTTTTTCTGGAATGGCTTAAACCATTCAATTTAGAAGCTGTGTTTAAAATAAAATGACAGTGGGAAGGGGTCTACAAAGACAGAAATCTCCTTTGTAATTGCTTTACAGAGTTCAGTTGACCTTGCATATTCACCGGATGTATTTCCATGCATTTAACCAAAGGTTTATACCTACACTTCATTAACTTGATTGTGAGACCTACAGTCTCTTGTCTTCTAACAGAGTTGTGCCTGGTTTGAACTTTACATATGTGGCATTATACAGTATACCTCGATTTTTATGCTCTGCATTATGCTGATGATAATCATCCATATTGTTTCATAAAATCTTAAGATGCTAATTTTCACTGTACAAACAGGCCAGGGTATTTGTTCAATCTGTTACTGCTGAATTTCTGTCAGAAATTCATAAGTAACAATGCCTATGAATATTCCTGCATGCCTACCTGCCTTTTATTTTAAAACTTTTTTTAAATGATTAGAACATTGATGGAAAATATTATATCCCACTGAATCCTTTGGAACACAAGACAGTAGGCTGATTTCTAAAACTTTTGATGAAGATAGTACATTAAAATATAATGCAGATGTGCTAACTTGAGACAAATCATTGGGTGGAAGTCTAGTGTGAGAAAAAAAAATCAAATTATAATCTGAGGGGTATGGAGGCTCCTTAAACCCTAATTTTAAAAGAATCAGCAGTGTTGACAGTATTTGTGAAAATTCAGGGGCTGCCCTTGAAAAACTACAGGCAAGGGTCTGAAAAGAAGGCTTAATGCCTAAAAGCACTGGTTGCTTTTTCTAGAGAACCAAGGCTCATTTCCTAACACCCACTTGGCAGCTCACAACTGTCTGTAACTCTAAATCCAGAGGAACTGCTGCCCTCTTCTGACATCCATGTGTGCCAGACATACATGTGGTATACATGCATGCACTCAGGCAAATCCTAATGTTCACAAAATAAAAATAAATCGTAAAAAATACAGAAAATACAGAACCTTAAAATTTAGCAATTAAACTTGCTCGTTTTCCTGTGTCAAGTTGGAATTTTTTTTATAATTTATTTTTTCTCAAATCGTAATTCATTCACACAGGGGTTATAAACACAGAAAGGCAGAATGTGGGGAAGGGAATGACACTGGAGTGTGGGTGATCAGGAGGAATACAGATATCATCAGAACCGGGTATTGGCTGGGTGAAGGTTCAGGGGACAAGTCACTATGACTCTGCCTATGACTCGCTTGTCCTTATCTAAGTTGGTATTGTCTGCCCAGGCTACCTATTTACAAGGTCTATGACTACTCAGGCTTGTAAATTTCCACAAAAGTTGCCTGTTGACATTAGCTTATAGCCATCTGTTTCAATGTTGTTCCACTGAGACCCAAGACTTGGTGTTAGTATACATGTATGACAGGCCTATTGCTGATTTTAGGCCTTCAGTGGGTAAGCAAGGCTGCCCCTGACATCTCCTCCCTTCTCTAAGTATAGAAGGGCTGTGGCAATTCTAAACTTGCAAAGGCGGGGATAGAGGCCTAACCTCCAGTATTTGAAGGGGACCTTGTAATGGCTGCAGTCCCCCTGTCGTTGTCCAGTGAGGCATGAGGGCCATACCCATCCCGATGTCTTTTTCCTGGAGAGGGGATACTTTTGACATCAACCCCTATGCAGTCAGGCTTGTCCCTCAGGGAACCCAGATAGATATTTTTATCTTTTATTGATATTCCCTTGCAGTGCTTAGCCTCGCAGCCTAAGCAAGAATTCAGATCGCCTGACAGAGGGGGTTCTGGGTGGCCCCTCTCTGCTTGGTCTAGGGGGAGAAGTCCCCCCTTTTAGGTTGGGTGGAGATGGGTGGAATTTTTTAGTAAGAAGTAAGACCTGATTTGAGAAGCATCAAATTATTTCTCAGGTTTTATTGTTTGAAGAATTGTTTGAAGTGGAGTCCCATGCATCCTGCTGTATACAATTTTTAAAAAATATTAATAGCAGGACTCTACTCTTCCTTTTTTCATTCAGTTTCTGAATAAAAGATACACAACCTTTATATTTATGAGCTGTTAATGCACTACAGCTGGACAGATATCTACCGTCTATCCTATTATTTCAACTTTCCTATCAATAATCCCTAATTACAATTTGCTATATCCGAATCATCTGGGCTGCTATTAATGCCAATTGGCCAGCCCTCATGGCATGTTTTCATAATTCAACTACCCATGGCATCTTCTCCTCCCTCCACCTTCTTCTCCCCCTTGTGGTCCTCCTTAAAGTCTCAAGTCCACCTATGTTTATTCTGCCAGCTATAGGCTGTGTGCATCTTTATTCAACCAATAGTTTTAAATTAAGAAGCAAGGTCACATAGCATTCTTTTTTGTACATCTAGATTCTCTTGTTGCTGAAGGCAATCAGGTCTTGGTGGCCAGTATTTAGCACTATAATACATAACAAAAGACCAAGCCTCAACAATAACCCAGGCTGGCCTCAAACTATGTAGTGAGAGTTACCTTGAGCTTCTGATGCTGATACTTCCTCCATGCTCCTTCCTATTGTTGTAAGTACAGGCATGTACTAGTTTGCTTGACTTATGCAATGCTGGGATGGAATGCAGGCTTTTTGCATGCAGAGCATGCATTCTAATAACTAAGCAATAGTCTCAGCTCCAGGGTAACATTTCTTAAATACAAAAACGCAGCTAAACATACTTTATTGTTTAACATCTTGTTTGACTTCTTCTGTTTATTAATTTCTATTATTAGTCACTCTGAGCCTCAGTTTCTTCATGTAGATAAAGAATATAACACAAGGTATTCCTATCTCAAGATATCAGTGCATCATATACAATTGACATTGTTGACATTGTAATCCTTAAGACACTAGGACAGTGGTTTTCAATCTTACTAATGCTAAGACCCTTTAATATAGTTCTTCATGCTGTGATGTCCCTCCAACCATAAAATCATTTTCATTGCTATTGCATAACTATACTTTTGTTACTGTTATGAATTGTAATGTAGATATCCATGTTTTCTGACTGTCTTAGGCCACCCCTGGAGATAAAATAATATTGTAAAACAGTTTGGTTCCCTTGATACTAATATATTAACAACTTAAAATGATGATGACTCTATAGGTTATTTTGGACAGAAAACAGAATTTTAATAAATACCTGCTCTAATGTTTTCCTTATCACCCAATTAAGAGTTAGGGAACTCCCATACCTAAGCAGAATGGTGTGCTTGGATTAGGATTAGTGAGGTCACTATCATGATTTTATTACCTAACTATGCCCTATTCTACCCACATAAAAAGTTTTATACATACCCTCAACTATATTCTATTATTAATATATTATATAATATGTATAATTTACCCATATTTACTTTTTAATTCATTGAAGTTGAAATAGCAATGAAATAGTTGCTATTTCAACTTCAATGAATTAAAAGAAAATATGAATAAAATGTAGTCAAGGAAGGTTTGGTTTAAGATGATTGGAAAACACAGATATTTACATTACAATTAAGAATAGTAGAAAATTACAGTTTTCAAGTAGCATCAAAAATAATTTTATGGTTGGAGGGTCACCACAGCATGAAGAACTGTATTAAATGTTTCACATTAGGAAGGTTAAGATCACTGTTACAAAGTTTGTGTTATCACTGCACTTTATATATCAGAATTTAAGGTTACATCTCAGGAAAGAACATGTTCTCTGACAGTTTGAAGAAATCAGACAGCGCTGCATGTCTTATATTTACAATACTTAAAAGATTATTTTGCAGCCTATGCATATGTGTATATATTGTAAATATATTTTCAAATTGTTCCAAGCTCAGTGATATTTGACATAGCAGTATCTAACTTGGGAAGGCTGTTTCCTGGCATTTTCCTAGGAGGAAAAATTATATAGAAAATAGGACTTCACGGCACTGGTTTAAACCACAATCTGTCCAAAACCAACTTATTAGAACAAGAAAAATGCTATCTTAACATTATGTCTAGATTCCCCCCATTTAGTAATAAAGATCCATAAAAAATGCAGAATGCTCTTAAAATTCAAATGATTGTTTCTTTCTTTCAGATTCCTCCTACTAAAACCAGTGTCAACAAAGGCTACCATGCTGACCTTAGCCCAGATCGCGGTGATTTTGAGTCTGTTCATTTCATTACCATTTGGGAGGCCTCAGAAACAAAATCCAAGAAGAAATGTAACTCAGCACACTATAGAAGATGTGAAAACAATGAGAAACAAATCCATTCATTTGGAAAGAAGCGTAAATATAACTTCAGAGAATGGAAGTGATATCTCCAACCTCATCGTGACAGCTCCTTCTCTTTTGGACTTATCCACAACCTACAAAACAACAAATTCCACCAGAAACTGGCCAACAGCTAGCTCAGCTGTGAATCCAAGACCCTCCTCCACATATTCCATTCCTCCCTTGGTTCAGAATTCATCCACCGCATATGTAAATCCTTTACAGGGCTCAGAACATTCCAATTCTACACATTCTCCATCATCAGAAAACTTTACTTGGTCTTTGGACAATGACACAATGAACAGCCCTGAAGATTTTTCAAGTACAGCACGACCCTTCCCTCCACCTGCAAAGACCACATCTGTGACCCCTTTCACAAGTGAACCTACTACTGGATGGCTTCCCATAAACAATGACAACTTTGCTGGTTTTACCCCATATCAAGAAAAGACAACTTTACAGCCCACCTTAAAATTCACCAATAATTCAAAACTTTTCCCGAATACATCAGACACCCCAAAAGGTATATACATATACAAGGATTTAACTTTCTGGTTATAAATGGCTGAGTCTCTAGAGAAGTCATATAAATTAAATCCAAAGACAGCCATTCTGGTGAAAGGCAGGCAATTGTAGTTGTATGAGTCATTGTTTTTGTGAGGAGTAAACAATAAAAATGGTGGAGTGGTTTTAGGACTTAATTGAGCACATACTAGTTACTAGCAGGTGGAAATATGAGAAGACAGTGGGACTGAAGGTTGTGTTGGTAAGTAAAATCCTGCCTGAGGCATTGGGTGACAATTTCCACTGACTCTCTAAAGACAATCTGGACTTTTGGTGCTTTCAGGAATATTATACAAATAAGCTTTAAAATATATGCATGTGAGCTTAGAAAAACTGAACAAAATGAGTGCTTTTATAAATTATCTGACCCCACATGCAGTGATTCAAGGACAATAACAGAAGAGTGACATTTCAAGAGTTACTTAGACAAGCTCGCCACAAGGAAAACATTCTTAACTTTTAGTTTAATATCTAACTTAATATATAATTTGTTGACAAACCATTATTATAGAAACATGTATATGATTTATTTAGAGATCATGTCAAATTTAAAGACAAAATAGGCAGTATATCAAAGGTTATATAATGCACTCATTAAGCTTAATTTCTTTCAGGTCTAGCTGTATGCGTGTATGCCTAAAGTGATTTATTATTTTTAATAAAAAATCATTTTTTATTAACTCAGTGCCTTCACATGAACTTTTAGAGGTTAAATTAATTATAACATATAAATGTATATGTGAGTTGGCATTTATAACCTGTTCTCAGCATCTGGAAATGTTTTAACATATAAAATCTAAGCCTTATTAAATAACTAATAACAACATGTGTATACAAATGTTCTTATTTTAGCTTTAATTTTAATACATCCCATAATTTGTATATACCCTTGTATTTTATTAGAAAGAATATTTAGAAACTTATTTGTTGTCTGTTTAAACTCAATAAATATATATTGTGAATACTGAGCACTGACCCACACCACAGCTCTTCTTTTTATATTGACAACTATTTTTTGTATTTCAAATGAGTTAATTTCATTAGGAGTGTCTATATCGCTTAAGAAAGCCTAAGAAAAATTTCATTTACCTAATTATTGAATTTCTCAAGACACTTAAAACTACAATTGTTATTTAGAGGGCAGAGGGTGTACTACTTTAATGATTTCTTAATTCTCAAGTCAACTATTCCAATAAAGGGCATAACAGTACAATTTTGTAGTTTCTTCACAGCTAAGCTGAGGTATAAGTAGGCATTGTAAACATCTTGCTCGTGTCTTTTGTTTGTTTGGTTTGCTCAGTTTGTAAATGTATTATAACAAGGAAGATTGCATTTCCTCCTGGTAACTTCTTGGCATTTTCTGGTTGAATTACTTATTACCCAAGTACTATTTTGTGTTTGTGTATGTGTATGTGTTGAATTATTATACAAAATTAAAGTTCATTTCAACTTTATATTTCCCCATAGACTTGGAGTTTATAAAAAAACTTTATTAATACATTATTAATACATTATTAATTACTGAAATTAGATCATTTATAAAATACAGCACTTTAGTACCTCTGAAGATAATCACTAATAATTAATTATAAATAGAAGGCTTTAAAGTCTTTCAAATAAAGTGAATGTATGATTTTTATAAGGAATTATTTTAGCACTATGTCACAAATACTGACCATAGAATAATGTGCACATACAGAAACACATTATCACCATTATTTAATTTAAAACATTCAAATCTTTTGTATAATTTCTCTTTGTATATGACTTTTTGTTTTTTGATTAATTATTGTTTGATTTCTTAGTTGAATCTGTTGTTTTTTTCTTCTAGAGAATAAGAACACAGGAATAGTGTTTGGAGCCATTTTAGGAGCTATCCTGGGTGCTTCACTGCTTAGTCTTGTTGGCTACTTATTGTGTGGACAACGGAAAACAGATTCATTTTCCCATCAGCGACTTTATGATGACAGAAATGAACCAGGTAAAACCTTCTTTCAGATCATCACCAACATGCAATAGATTTAGTATGGGACACTGTGCTACTTAGGAAAGAGTCAGAGTGTCAAATGACAGAAGCAGACAAGATTTATTAGAGCCAATGCTATTTCACCAAGAAAAGAGTTTCACTATTTATCTGTGACATTTAAAAGCCTTTGGAATTTTTGCTCATGGTCTTTAATAGTGGTTCTAGAATCACAACAAATGTAGAAAATTTGAAGATAATGATACAAAATTCACTCTGAAATTCACTGTGGCTCTGAAATTTGCTGGTAAATTGAACTAGGAGAAAAATTCATCCTAAGTGAGGTATCCCAGATACATAAAAACAAATTGGTGATCAGTCACTATAAAAGAGACATCCTCTTGTAGTAGATGGGAAAAACTATAGACCCACAGTCAGACATTATGCAAGAGTGAAAAACCTTGGAACACTCAACCCTAAATGGAATCAAATTCCTTCTCTTAGATCTCAGGGAGCCTCATGGAAGATGAGGGAAAATGTTATAATCTGAGGAGATAGAGGACACCAAGAAATAAAGGCCCTATATATGAACAAGATCAGAGGTCGATCATAAGACCTTTGTGATCTCTTCCATACAGCTTTGAGATACCTTTCAAAGGACAGAATTCAGGAAGGCTAGTTTTTAAGTAGATGGCTTAAGGAAAAGGCAGGCAACATAATACCGGAATAATTAAACCACTAATCTAATTTGTAATTACTCCTTGGTTACAACACTTTAAGACACATAATGCATAACTTAAGTTTTCCCTGAAAATATATACTCAAGCTCATTAAGAATGTATCTCCCATTCAAGTACTAACCAGGGCCGACCCTGCTTAGCTTCCGAGATCAGACGAGATCAGGCGCGTTCAGGGTGGTATAAATGATCATCCTGAGTGAGGTAAGCTAATCACAAAAGAACACACATGGTATTCACTCACTGATTATTGGATATTAGCCCAAAACCTTGAAATGCCCAAGATTCAACTCACAGGCCACATGCAGCTCATTAAGAAGGAAGACCAAGTTGGGGTGATTCTGTCCTTCTTAGAAGGAGCAACAAAATACTCAAGGGAACAAATATGGAGACAAAGTGAGGGACAGAAACTGAAGGAGGGGCCGTCTGAAGACCATTCCACCTGAGTATCCATCCCATGTGCAATCACCAAAGGTAGATGCTGATGTGGAAGTCAGGAAGTGCATGCTGATAAGAGCCTGATATAGATGTCTCCTCAGAGGTCTTCAAGAGTCTGACATATTCAGAGGCAGATGCTCACAACTAGCCATTGAACTGATCATGGGGTTCCCAATGGAGGAGTTAGAGTGAAGACCATTGGAGCTGAAAGGGTTTGTGGCCCCATGAGGAGAGCAACAATACCAACCAACCACAGCTCCCAGGGTCTAAACCACCAGCCTGGGAGCACATAGGGTGGGATCCATGGCTTCAGCTGTATATGTAAGAGCGGAGGGCCCTGCTAGGCATAGGTGGGAGAAGAGATCCTTGGCCTCATGAAGGCTGGATGCCCCAGGGGGTGGGAATTTGAGGGTGGGAAGGTGGGAGTGGGGAGGTAGGTAGGGGTATATCCATCCGCAGAGAAGCAGGAGGAGGGGTGAGGGCATAGGGAGTTCCTGGGTGGGTGGGGGATGGGTAAGGGGACAACATATGAAATGTAAATAAAGCATCCAATAAAAAAAAGAATGTATCTCCCTTTGCTAAAAATTAAACAACCCCAATCCAATCATCTATCAGAGTATATTGAGTGATTACTTGGTCTGTCAGAAGGAGGCATACTTTTCATAATTATTTTACTTCCTTCTACACGTTCACAAGGTTGACTATCAAGGTATTAAGATAAGCAGTAAATAATGTTTTTTTTCTACTAACTGTATTCACTTAAAAAGTAATTTTAAGTAATTCACTTAAAAGTAATACCAAGAGATTAAAACCAAAAATGCAAAAGTCAATTAGTTATGTTTATATTTTCAAGCATTGGGGATTGGTATGCTCTGTTGAGATGTTTTCCTTAATTTCTTAATTTTCTGTCCAATTTAGAATTTTAGAACTATCTCTGTTCTCTTATTCATAGAAATAATCGTGGAATGCAAAAATCTACTTATCTAAAATTTCAAAATAATGTCTGAAAGCCCACACAGAAGAACCTGCTCATCACTTAGAACAATTCTTAAGGTCTGATAATGTAATCAGGTGGCTGAGCATTCGTCATTTAGACTATCACCATAAAACAAGTCTGTTAATTTTGCTATTTTTTTCAGTTCTGCGATTAGACAGTGCACCAGAACCTTATGATGTCAATTTTGGAAATTCTAGTTACTACAACCCAACTGTGAGTGATCCATCCATGCCAGAAGGTGGAGAAAGCGTGCATGACGGCATTCCCATGGATGCTATACCTTCACTTCGCACTGCGATATAAAACTGGGAGAAAGATGGCTGCCAAGGGCAAGAATTCATCTCTATTTTGACCTTTCATCATTCAAGAGGTTGTGCAAGATCACTGTTGTGCTTCTTGCACAGGGAACGGCTGAAGAAGGAGGAGTTGTACAAAAAAAAAAAAGCATGGTGGATTGGTCATCCACAAGCTTTCTGTTCTTACAGTCTTCAGCTGGGCAGAAGCATGTGTTATATAACCATAATTTGTATTTTGGTTTATTTTCCAAGGAAACCTTTGTGGAGTAAGGTAAAATTAATGCACATCACCATGGTAGCACTGACTGATAACAATAACCGTTCTTCACACAAAACCAGGGGAACAAAACTAGGTTTTCTTTAAATAGTTTGTTTTTAAACAAGAAACCAGAGTTAACTCTTTATTCCTCTTGTCTATAATCCAGGACTATAGAATTAAACAAGCATTTTCTTGGGGACATAGTTTGGATGATAATTTTTTGCTGGTTTGTTTCAAAGCCAGAAATATGATATGGCAGAATTTTTGGTCCTGAGAAATTAAGGCAATAAGAACGAAAAACTTGTCTTCTAATACATTTCACCCTTCTACAGTATCACACATGGTCAATCCCTGTGGCTTCCATGTTGACAATGGGGGCATTCAACAGGGCCACAGGAGGAAAACTGACTCTAGCCAGGAAACTGATATCTTCCCTGAAAGTCCTCAACGTTTTAAGAAACTTCAGCTTGCATGACTACACATCAGGTTTCAGTTAATTAGGCACCTTAAAATCTCAATTGGAAACATGAGGAAAAGGCTGAAGAATATACTTGTACATAGTACGAATTTAACTTCTTAGCTAGAAATAGAATTTGCAGGACATAATAGATGTTTATTCAGACATATGTGAAATATCTGTCCCTCTAAAGTCATGAAGCATAGGGCAAAACAGGAGAGAGAGTTAGAAAGCAAACACATCCTCACTTAAAGAAGTAATGACACAAGAGACTTAATTCTGGTTTTAGTTTGTTTTCGATCAACACCTGTCTTTTGACAGTCTGAGCCTCAAAGATTAGAGGATTAAATAGAGCTAAATTCCCAAGGAGTGAATGAATAAACAAAGCAAGTACTATCTTAGAGGTTTATTGTTGAATCAACACATGGTATGAGTGGCACTTTGTGGTGTGTGTGTATGTGTATGTGTGTGTGTCACAGGAAACATTGTTACAAAGTCAGAGTTGTAAAATGAGTAGTGAAAGAAAATACTCACCCCAAATTGCCATAAAAATAGCGAAGAAAACTGTCCCTCCATTATCGAACAAATATGTTACCTTAGTAGAAAAAATATAAACATTAATCATATTAAGTTGTACTAAAATATAAGTTCTTGTTTGCCTTAGGTACTGTGGTTTCTTTCTCCCCAGGTTCTATCACAATGTTGTATAGTCTGTTCACCTATTCACCTGGGACCTTCACCAGTCTTCCAGTAGTTTATGTAGTGTCCTTACATGAAGAGATGAGGAAACCACAGATTTTCTTTTTTCTCTCTTCCCTCTGATTCCTTTGCATCCCACTTTCATTTTGGCTTTTAAGTTGTTCTAGAAGCTGTTTCACATTACAGTCGAACACACTAACATTGTGAAATGTAAGAAGTTAGTGTTAAAGTTAAAACATAACACATTTTGTTTCATGTTGTTTCCTATTAGAGAATGTTCCCAAAACAGTGAAGTTATAAAACACACAACTTGGGTAGTGAGAGAGCTTCTACAATTGAAAGCTGTCATAGTAATTCCTGATCTTTGATGCTTGCAAAATGTGCCAGGGGTCCAGTAGTGATTTATTTCATATAATGAGTTTCATCTTAAGTTGTTTGAAGATGTTTCATAAATCATTAAGCATATTTTAATGAGCTGTTACCTTATATAAAACTTGATAAAGTATGTAAAGTTATTCAATGTTATATAATTTTTAGAATTGCAAGGATTGATAAATTTTAATAAAATTCAGATTTAATAAAGTCTGATTTATTGATGCTTCTTCCTACGTGCACAACACCTTGCCCCCAAATTAGTGAAAGTCAATACTTGGTATGCACATAAATACTATAGAAATAATAGCCAACCTCTGAATATCCATAGAGGATAGGTTGCAAGGCTTTTAGTGGCTGTCTAGAACTGCACACAGTGCCAAGCTTGTTTACTAAAGCTAATATATACATACATACATACATACTATATATATACATACTATATATATATATATATATATACATATATATACATATATATATACATATATATATATATTTCACAATAAGGAATTAATAACAGTAGCCAAAGAGAGGGTGGGGGAATAAAACAACACATGGTAAATCACGTGTGGATGTGATCTTCCCTCCCATACGCACCCTACTTGTATAGATGATGGGAGAAGGTGTGTCTACATGTTCAAATGAAGTGAGGTGACTGAAGGGAGCATTGTGAGGTTGCATTAGCTAAGTGGCAAGAGTTACTAGACTACAAGTACTCTGACACTGAGAATATAGATCTGTTGCCTGAGGGTGTCTGTATAGGTGGGTAGCATATACTACACGGCTATGCAAAGAGATGATGATTCACATGTCAGTCAGGTTACCATGAAATAGAGTCTAAAACCCATGAATTATTTATTACTGGATTCTGTCATTTAATATTTCCAAGGTCCAGTTTACCAAAGATAAATACAAATCATAGAAAATGAAGCTACTGATAAGGAAGGGTAGTGTATAAAGAAACTGAGAATTATTATTTCCCAAAGAGGACAAGATGAATTATATGTTAAAAGACTTTCTTATAAGAGATGTTGGAGTGGAATTGCATCCTCTTTGCTCAGTCTATAGTCAAGAGGATTCTTAATGTGAACATTGCAATCACATTAATGTATAGTTCAACTTTAGCCTATTTAAAATCTTATGCATGGTACTTAGTTCAGTGGAAGAGAGCTTGTCTAGAATGCACAAGCAAGCCTTGGTTCTGATCCCCAGCATAGTGCAAAAAAGAAACATAAACCTTAAAAATTGTTAAGCACAAAATATCCTTTATGGCTCTAAAATTTTTATTTTTGCTAAGGCTGAAGATATCTAAAAATACTAGATGTTGTTTTTCAGAATAATCATTATGGACAGCAGAGACAAGGATCATAGAAAAATTCCCCCACAGAGCTCATAATATTACACCCAGCAGGGGAATCTAGACTCTTTGTTTCCAGAGGCATCCAGCAGAGAACCTGAGCTGTCTCAGTAGGTTGAACAGCTGTCAGTTTCCCCCTTTAAATAGGCTTGATACAGGAACAGCCTCTCAGAGTGCTACAGAGGCTTTACCTATGAGGAATTAAAGGTCACCAAGAAATGAGGTTTTCCCCTGCTTCAGAGACAGCCATGCTTTGAGAAAACTGAAAGTAAAAAGGTTATAGTTAACAAAAAACATGCTTCATGGATGGTTTTGGTAGAGGTTTCTGTAATGTTTGCTTTTAAAGTGATTTTCATTATCTTTTAAAAAGTTCTCTTATAAACCTTTTAGACATATTTAAGTTCAAAATAGAATATTAACAGTTTAGAATAATATTAGCCAATTATAGTGGATATATATAATATTTATATATGAAAATTTTAATTGTGGCTTATATACATGTAACTGGAGATAAAACTTAATTACAGACCAGAGAATACTTCAAAACATGCAGTAAGCAGGAGTGTAGAAATGTGAAAATAATTTTGTTATATTTACAACTTATTGAAATATGAGAGGGATCAAGATATTGAAGATCATGGAGATAAACAATTAGCCTGGGACTACAGTTGATTACTAGTTACCTTATGATACTGGCAGAAAAGATGCTCAGTTAAAATGGAGAATACTGAGTAATTAAACACACTGTGGAGGGTTCGAGATTAGGTCTGAGGTAACTGTCATGAGAAACAAGAGCATTTACGTGACTAACACCAAAGACCATTTACTACATCAAAGAAAATATCAGATTAAAATTTTAAAAGCTTCAAGGAGCATAACAGACATTCTAAAAACAATAGAGGCTGGCTCTTCTTGAGATTGCACATTTACAATAATTTTTCAATTAGAAACTAGCTTGCCTTTATGACTACAAAGATGTATGAAGATGTATGAACATTCATTTTATTTTACATTGTTGGTGTGTAGAGCGTAATGTAATAAGGGAAGGCTTTACTGACTGAACAGCACAAGTTCTCCATGGTGGTTGCAGTCTGATTGAGTTTTGAAAGTTGAGCATGGTTAGCCATTGATGAATAAGGAATTGTTTAAGGACATCTAGTTCCTATGAGATTGGAAACGTGAGGCTGAGTCTCCTCTTCTAAAGTTATTTTATCTCCTCTTACATCCTTGGTAGGTTTGGAACAGGATGATGCTCCAATACTGACATACTCACAAATCCCCAATACAGTAAATGAACAGGGATCTTCTGAGCTAATCCAATCATATAGGCTAGACTATCACTGAAGACATGCTCATAAGGGAATTGGGGTAAATGCTGGGATGGAATTTTTTCTCACTGTTTAATGGCTAACTCTTGGGTAAGAGAGGTAATGCTTAATGGTCTATATTCAATATATCTGGATGCAACATATGTCAAACATCAAACACAAACAGGAACATGGTTTAATGCTTGTCTACAAAGTTTTCTTAATGTGCTCCTCAGAATCATAACCACAGATGGATTGGCTCAACAAGTAGATTTCTATGTCTTATTCTTAAGTAATTGATTCCAAATTATCAAATGTTGGGCTATGTATACATATATGTGTATGCATATGTATATGTGTATATGTGTATATATATGTATATATGTATATATATGTATGTATGTATGTATATGCATGTGTATGTCTATACAGATACACACCCTCTGCATTATCACAGATTCTTTTTTGAAATTTCTTAAATGAAAGTCTACTGTCTTTCCTATTTGGGCTGCAGTTTTACAGTTAGTGTATACTTTGAGTGACATATTAGTATTGAATACATGTTATCTAAAGAGGTAACATTTAATAATTCTATTAGAAGATAAAGAATGAGCTTAGCTTAAAGGATTGAGATGTTTTTGCAATTGCACAAAGTATTGAGTGCCTCTATTTAATTATTTAACTTTTGCAAACAATTCTAGCATCATGAATTGATAGTATAGTGTTATATCTTTAAATCAATGCATAAATATCTGAATCATTTAGTTAAATATGTTAATTCCTATAGTTTTATTATTAAAATCAAATCAATCAATTGAAGAAACTGCTGATGTGCAAATATATGTATATATAAAACTTTTAGTATAAAAGTTTAAAGTATAAAAGTTTATCAATTTTAGTATAAAATTGATAAAATCAATTTTTACATGCAAATACTTGTGGATTTTGAAAATAAAATGAGGTAGGGTTTAATTTTTTCTCCATAGACTCAGAAACTGATGGATTCCATGAGGAACTGTAGTGACATTGCACCGTGTCCTTCATCTCATGATATAAATCTAGACTGCTTAACACACAAAATGTAGATTCATTTTCCTCCATCAATTATAGAATAATCACAAAATTATAGGTGCAAAACAAGTAGATATATTTAATGTTAGCTAGAAAATGCAGGACCAGAAATATTTTGTACAGATGGGACTTATGTCTTGTGCTGTTGCATGAGACGATATTTTTTGTATGTTGCCCCTTATACATTCTTTCTAAACATTCAAGTGAACTCTGAGCTGTGGCTTCATGCTATATTCATCTTGAATATTAACAAAAGCTTCCTAGATTTAAACTTTCTTGTGTAGATCATCCATTATCTCTGTCTTATATGGATATTTTTGTTTTTAGTGTTAGACTTGCCATGATTGGATTATTTCAAGAAATTTTAGAAGTAATGGAAGCAACATACAACCATATCTTTAATATCTATAAGGCTATCATATTTTATAATTTAATGACATTTCACACCTTCATAACTGACTGACTTGTATATGTGTATATACACCTATTTATCTCCCTGTCTGCTTTTAATATATCTAATCCATATCATCTATATGCGCTACTCTGGAATTATTCAAAAAATGATGTGAAAATACAACTTCAGAACACGATATGTATATCTCAGTCTGTATCATCTTTGTTGGACCTTCTCAAACTTAAACTCAAACATAAACATATTTATACAGTAATCACACAATGTTTTTAATGCTGATTATTCAAGATAAAAAAGTCAGAAGCTAACTTTAATAAATTTGGTTTGTGATAAAGTGATTTTCTATTGATATTACACTCAACCTCGTCAAAATTAATTGTATGGAGAGCTCTACTTTTAGACAAGATAAACAAATAAGGATAAGTTTTACTCCTATGTTACAAACAATAAAAAAAATGTCCGAAGTAGACACAGCAACGAGATAGATGAGGAAAGAAGTAAGCTATTATCATTACTTGAGATTACTGGCCGAAAAGAGTTCCAGATATACAAAGAACTATAGGAATTAAAATATTTTGAGTAAGTAATTTAGTGATATTTGTGCATCAAATGTGGACATATATAAGGAAATTTTCTGAAATCAAGAACAAAACCAAGAATGGACCAGTAATCCCCAAGTACTTACTACTGTCAGCCAGTGTAGAGTTCCTCATTGTTCCTGGTACCTTAGTAGAGCACACAGGAAGATCATGTTTTTGTTGTTGAGAACAATTAGATATAGGCAGAGCACTGGGGTTATCCAAGTTGAATATTTCAAGAGCAAGAATGCCTCTAACACACATCAAATGATTTTTTAAGCAACTAAACCATGAGGCATCTACCAGAATCATTACAATTTACAAAGAGTGATACACTGAGGCTCAGTGACTCTATGGGCAACAACTCTAGGACATAATACCAAAAGACGTGATCTACAATATAGTTTAACCAATTTGGAAAGTGTTTGTTCAGCTGTTTTGCAAAGGTTATTATGAATAATGTTTGATTATCTAATTTTAAGGTAATGGAGTGGAAGTGCAGTATGACTTCAGTGTTTAGAGTTGGAGACTCTGAGCAGTGATTAAGATTCTATGAGTCATGAGAGAAGTAAAGCCCTTATGATAGAACTTTTGATTTTATAAAACTCTTACCCTGCCTGTCTCATCATGTGCCTTTGTTCTGTATTTTGTTAGGGCTCTGTCAGCAAGAAGACCTTTTTTTTTTTTTTTTTTTTTTTTTACCAGATGATACCCTGGAACATCATACCTCCACGTTCATGAACTACAATAACTCTCTTTTCTTAAATAGGTGACTACCATCAAGCAAATCATCACAATGAGATAAACTGGACTAATACAAAAACTAACAATAAAGCTATTACATATGCTGACAATTCTACTTCTAGATACTGACCGAGGAGAAATAACAATTGTCAGTCAGAAGACACAGAAAGCAGTGCTTTTAGAAGCTTTGTTTAAAGTGAGAAATGTATTAGTATATAAACGAATAACAAACTTTGATATAGAGAAAATGAAATAGTATCCTCAATGATGAAGAATGCTTTGTTGATAAAAGTCACATTGTAAGATGAATTTGGAAACTGCTACAGTATACAAAAGAAGTCAGAAAAGAGTCTTACTATTTAATGCTATATACATGAATCAACAAACATGTATGCATATCAATGATGGTATGTTGTAATTAGTTACCTAAACAGAGAATTTGTATGAGCTGTGTGTGGGAGAGCTGGGGAGAATGTGGGAGGTGGGGGTTTAAGAGGTGGGAGGTGGTGAAACAGCCTTGTAGGTGACATACACGTCCATTATCTTCACTGTAGTGCTGTGCATCACAGATGCATATGCCTTAACAAAATGTATCATTTTTATTGGTTACATGTGTCTAATCTAGTTTACTACATAATAATTATTTTTCCATAAATATCTTCTGAAAATAAAAACTTTAAGAACTAATGGATTTTTTTTTTACATTTGTATTCACCTAGAAACTTATAGAAAATTTGTAATGTGGGGACATCTAGATTCTTGCCTAAAGGTTCTTATTTAATTTCTCTGAGATATGCCTTGCTCTTCAAGAGTTTAAAAGTCCATTAGGTATTTCAGATAGACAGCAATATGGGACTTTGGGAAATGACATTACATTTCCTCTGTGAAAGTAGAAATATTTTAACTTAATAAATTCATGACAGATACAAATTGAATCATCAGTCATGAAAATAGTTATTTTCATAAAATGAATCAGATGTAATGTCAAGTGGAAGTTTGTGCCCAAGGTGTCAATTATCAGTTATAATAACACAGAAAGAAAAAGATATTAAAATAAAATATATCCACTTTTTTAATTGCAACAGACTGATTTTTTTCCCAGTTGTCAATGACACTAATAATGTTGAAATTGTTGGAGCCAATTAATTTTGGCAGAAAAACAATTTACTGGGGAACGTTTCCCTGTCTAATTCTTAGAAAAATGGGCTCAGGGAAGAGACTATGGTGGCCCCCACTCACCTTGGCATAGATGCAGCTGTCGTTGAGTCTCTGCAGTGAGCAATTCTTGTCACACAGAGGGCACATGAAGACTTCAGTGGCTTTACAAATTTCTTGGCTTTAAAAATCAAAGGGAAAAAATGTGAACCCTTGTATTAGCCCCTACTGAACACAGTACTGGGAACAGAAATGCAGAGGAACAAGGAAGAAATAGAAAACAATCATCATAGAGTTAGATGATGGCTTCCACATACATATCTTAGAATACTCGTGATAGAAAGGTTTTTTGTTTGTTTCTTCAGTTTTAGAAAACTGTGCCAAAGGAATATAATAATAATAATAATAATAGGCTATATATTAACTTGTAAGATACTTAATTTAAAATAAAGACATTTTGATTCATGGTCTCTCATGACACACAGAATTATCTTAGGTAGCACATCTCTGAAATATTCAAAAGTCAGATGCAAGGTTGCCATTTCTGTCTTAATCCTGTGTCTTTACTTTTTGGAAGGCACAGAGATAAATCACTGTCCTTAATCTTGTCTTTTTAATTACCTTGAATTCCAAGCTGAACAAAGATTCTCAGGATCGATCATTCCTTCAAATATCTGTGAGGATGAATCTGTACCATGAATGACTAACCAACAACTTACAGTGCCACTTCTTATGATAGCCTAGCACTGGAATAGTGATGGCTCATTGATGAAGGGAACCTTGGTCAGAATTATTTGCTTATGTGTACTGACACGGTTGTCTTCTATTTCAACCTAGATTTTTCAGTCTTGCCAAGATAAGCTTGGAATCACCGAATTTCTTTATCTATCCTTCATCCTACCATGGCCATCTTCTTTTTCTCTTTCAGCATTTCTGTCTTTGTAATTGGTAGACTGCAGTAGGATGGTCAAGCCTCCATGAAGGAGCTGCCAGACCCAGGCTTTGACTCTGATACTCCATAATGCTCCAATGCTCCCAATTTCTCTGAAAATTTTTAAATGTGCCAAAGATATTTAAACAAACCAAATTTCTATGTATCAATGAATGGATATAAAACATTATATATATTGTACATACATACAACAATTCTGCATATTGAAAGAAGTACAACTATCCCTGCCTTCAAATTGTACTAAAGAATATCATAATAAAACCAGCATGGTATTGGGACAAAAATAGACACAATGATCAATGATCATATGGTTACTGACACCTAGTTTTGCTAAAGCAGCCAGAAACACACTGGAAAAGGATAGGTGCTGGTAAAACTGGACAGCTGCATGTAGATGATTCCAAATACATCCATACTTAACACCCTACAATACTCAACTCCAAATGGATCAAAGCTTTCAACATAAAACCAGATACACTGAACCTGAGAGAAGAGAAAATGAGGGGTAGCCTAGAACTTATAGGCACAGGAGATGACTTTCTGAACAGAATATTGTTAGCAGAAGAACTAAAATCAACAATTAATAAATTGTACTGCATGAAATGAGAAGCACAGAAAAGGATACTGTTATTCAAACAAAAGTAGCAAGCCATAGAACAGGGAAAGATTTTCATAAACTCTGCATCTGATAGACGGCTAATATTAAAAATATATAAAGAACACAAAAAATTAAATGTTGTGAAAACAACTCAATTACAATATGGGATATAGGCCTAAAGAAAGAATTCTCAATAAAGGAAACTCAAATGGCTGTGAAACACTTAAAAAAATGTTCAACATCCTTAGTCATAAGGAAACAAGAATCAAAATTTATTTGGGATGTCACCTTAAACCCATCACAATGGCTAAGATAAACAAAACAAGTGACAAATCATGCTGAAGAGAATGTGGAGTAAGGGGAACACTTATCTGTTGCTGGTAGGAGTGAAAAATTGTACAGCCATTATGGAAATCAGTGTGGGAGCTTCACAGGAAGATGGGAATCTACTTTATTATCATGTTATACCATTCTTGGACATATATTCAAGGGATACTTCATCCTACTACAAAGACATTTACTCAACCATGTTCATTGCTACTCTATTCATAATATTCAGAAATTAGAAGCAACCTAGATATCTTTCAAAGAAGAAAGGATAAAGAACATGTGGTACATTTATTTATACAGTGGAATATTACTCAGCGATTATAAAAATGAAATAATGAAACCTGCCAGTAAATACATTGAACTATAAAAATCATCTTGAGTGACCCAGAGAAACAAATATACCGTGTATTCACTTATATGTGAATACTAGCATGAAGTCAATGATTCCCAAGTATTATCTGTAGAAACATAGGGTTAGGTATAATTGAAGGGACTAGGGGGACAGATAGGAAACAGAAATAGAATAGATAGTAATAGATATAAGGTGGTGGGAGACTGAATTGAGGGGATTAACTGGGGAAGAGATGAATTGAATTGAAGATGGAATTAAGGGTGAATATTGAAAGAAACAGCTAAAATTAAGAGTCATCTGAGGGATAGCATAGAAATGTATTATATATGTAAAGGCAAGCTAAATGAAATAACTAAATAACTTGGTGGAGTGTGTATTTCTTGTCACCAAATAAACTTTCCAGTACTGGGATTAGGTTACATCGAATTGTGTTGTTGGCAAATGTGGTTTCATTGGACCTCCAAAACAGCTCAGTTTGTTGCCAAGACTATACATTTCTCTCCACCATCTCTCCATCTGACATCAAGCCTCCATTGTTGAATACAATTCCCACACAACTCACTGAACTTTCAGAAATCAAGCTGATGCCTACATAGAAACCTTTACTTCAATAAGGGGCCTTTGTACAGGAAGGTATTCACATGCTATCAAAGGAGAATAGTAAACACCAACCTGACCACAAAGCCTTTGATCCACAATGGTGTCCTGCCTGCACATGCTAGTGCAATGTGGCACAAAGCTGGTTGTCATTAGTATCCAACCAATATCTGGTTTTACTTAAGACCCATTCCATGAGATGGAACCCATACCTGACACTGCTTAGGAGATCAAACACTGGACATTAGATAACCCAGGGACAAAATACTACTGTTCTGAAAGAAAATAAAGCAGCAATCAAATGACTTCTACTGATATTCTGCTATGCTCACAGAACAGTGCCTTGCTCAGCTATCATCAGAGAAACTTCCCTATAGAGCAGATGGGAATAACTAGAGACCATCACCCGGACGATATGAAGAGAGTGAGAAACCTTGGAACACTCAGGCCTAAATGGGATATCTCCATAAATTCTTTCCCCTTGGGTCACTGAGAACAATGTGGAAGAGAAAAATAAAGAGATTGGAGGAGTTAAAGGGGATGGAAGCCACCAAGTAAAACAACTTTCTCTAGAGCAGCAGGATCAGTCTTGTGCCTTTTCTTGAGATTTTTTTCCTTATCTCTCTTGCTTTTGCGTGTTTGTTTCATATTGTATTATTATTATTATTATTATTATTATTATTATGTTTTTGTTCTATCTTATTATATCATTATATTATATTAAAATGTATTAGCCCTTAGAAGCCTGTTTATTTCCTAAGAGAAAGTGCATGGATCAGAGGAACATGGAGGAGTAAAGACAGGAAACTAATCAAGACATGTGAAGAAAAGGTCTTTTTTCCATAAAAGGCAAAAACAAAGACCAAACACACACAAAAAGAAATATGACTGCAGTTTGGTTGTTTGTATCTTGTAGATCCATAATAAACAGACCCATATCTCCAGATGTTTATCAGTTCATTACTTTGCAACAAACAAAAAGGAGCTTAATAAGAGACTAGTATGAATCAACACAAAACAAAGCTCAGTCTCTTCCCTGCCTGCCCACAAAGATAACAGCCAGGACTCAACCATGTCTGGCACCTTGAATGGAAAATTTCAGTTTTGAAATTCTGAAAGTCAAGATATTCAGTGCTGCTTATCTTGGTTTAGAATAGAAAGTCTAACGAGATCTTAATTATACTGTGACTAAAGTAGTGGTAATATAACACCCAAAGGCACAGAATGAAGACTTTGTTGATGCCTTTAAAATACTCCATGTACTAAAGGTAAAAAAAAAAAAAATATCTATTTCATAAAAAAGAACCTAGGTTCTCCCACTGGTACCAAATTAACAGAAACAACTAATTTATTACCATTTGTGTATATTCCTACTGGTTTGCAAATTTCTAGTATGTTTTGATTGAGAGAGGTGTCGATATCTTATCATAAACCTACGTGAAGTATAGAAATTATGAGAATGCTATCCATGGGTCCAATCTGAGCAGTAACTACCGAGTGGCCCCTTTTCTCTTCCTTTCTTCCTTTCTTCTCTTCCTTTCTTCCTTCTTTCTTCCTTCTTCCTTCTTTCCTTCCTTCCTTCCTTCCTTCCTCTCTCTCTCTCTCTCTCTCTCTCTCTCTCTTTCTTTCTTTCTTTCTTTCTTTCTGTTGAAAATATTCTTTTCTCATACAGTTTATCCTTAATATAGTTTCCTCTCCTTCACTGCCTCCCAGTTTCTCGCCACTTCCTCTCCCCTCCAGATCTATTTCCTTTTTGTCTCTCATTAGAAAAGGACAAGCCTGTTTGTAAATTCATTGTAAAAAAAAAAAAAAAAAGAGTTTTCATTTCAAGAACCCATTCTCTGAGGTCAAGAGCTCACTAACTGAAGAGTGTGTAGGAAAATCCCCAATGGGAGCAGAGAAGGAAGACGTTTTAAAGCTGAGATTTATACAGGATGATGTTGCCTCTCATAATCATAGTGACTCTGTACAATGCTGAAACAAATCTATGATTGGGACCATATGTTTTTGATCTTCAGTGCATGTCTTGAAAATCTAAGGGAGTTCAGGGGTTTCAAATCAAAGAATTTGGTTATTGAACTCGAGTACAACAGAGATACTTTGTTCCCAGGCAAAAATATTATGCATTTGTTAATATTTTAAAGAGAAATACAGGGAAAGGACTATTTCTGATGCTCTATAATTTTATATTAGAATTAGCTATTAATAAGTGCTTCCCAGAAGAAAGACCATTGCAAAAATATTGACGAGAGAGAACAAAGTACTGAATTTTGATAAACTGTGTCTTTCCTTTTAAAAGTTTGTTTAATTATTTTATTTGTAAGTGTGTAGGCCTGAGTGTATGCATATGTATCATGTGTATGTAGATGTCCTTGGAGACCAGAAGACGGCGTAAGATCCATTGGAGTTGGAGTTATATGAGGTTGAACCATATAGATCCTCTGAAAAGAGTAAGGCAGTTAACTGCTGAGCCCCCACAGAAATTCTTTGTATTTTTGAATTTGATCATATAGAATTAATTTTCATGAGAATTGTTAATATAGAGTTAAATACAATGATGAAAAATAGTGCATTATTTTAAAGAATAATTCTTTCTCATTTCTAACATTATATCTCTCTCTTTTTAAAAGATAATTACATTTTTGATGTAAGATTGACTTGTCAAGTCTCACTTTGATAATCTTTTTAGATTATGTAATGCATATTGGAAAAAATAAATTTAGCAAAGTGATAAGAACTTTTGGAACATATTGAAAAGAATCTGCATGTAAAACTATCAGAATGGCATTTTAATAGATCTTCTGACACTCTATAAACAAAACAAAACATGCACATATAAGTACTATTATTTATCTCCACCACTGATAGGCATTTGCCCTTTCACAGAGCAAGTCAAATATTTCAAACAATTCTCACCATAGCTCACCTTACTTGACTTTCATTCATTGTAACTAATCCGTAGAAGAAAACACAAAGGCCAACAACTGCAGCAGGAATCAGCATTCCAGTATACCATCCCAGCCAGGCGAAGTATAAGCCAATCTTCTCCCCAAAGTACATCCTGCAGAGAAAGTCAGCCTTCTGTTGAATTAATGTGATATAAATGATCTGACAATCTCCAATACCACAAGCAATGAGGATTTCAGAGGAAATTTAAGACTATCAGCCTGCCCAAGAACTCCTGTCTGGTGTTACACAAATCTCATTTTGGCAATGATGTTTTTTCTATAAGTTTGGTCACTATAGGGACAACACGAGATCAACTTGCAACAGAATCTACTTCTATACCAACTTTCTTAAAATTTTTTTCATAACTCAATCCTGGCCCTTTCTCTATCCTTCTAATCTACCTAACAAAGCTATTTTTGAGAAATAAAAACTAAAAAGGAGGAAAGATCATGGGTCCTTTGATTGGATTCTTTGTTCAGGATAAATGGCACACTTGGGCTGACATGCTTATGCTACATCTACAGTGTTGCATCTTGTCTTCTTGCACCAAAGCCATATCCTGCTTGTCTGAATCACATTTTCTTTGATTATCACTGGTCACTAACTAAAAAAAAAAAAGCTTTCCTCCTATTACTGGCATTTGCTTTTTTTTTTTCATTTTTTATTGGATACTTTATTTATTTACATTTCAGATGTTATCCCCTTTACACATTTCCCCTCCCTAGAAACCCCCATCCCATCCCCCTCCTCTTTTTGCTTTTATACCATTTTAATTACACACAAGTATTAAGGTCAGTTCTAGGTTGAAGGACTAGCAATACAATAGATGCAAATAGTCATGAAACAAGCAAGACAATAAACACAAACAGTCAAAGAACAAGCAAAATAATAAACAAAATTCTGTGAATGCTCCTGTGATCATTGTTTCTAAGGGCTTATCAGGATGACCAAAATATCTTAGCCAATTTCCCTGTCCTAGCCCAAAGTCATTTTTATGTCTGAAGCCTACTTCCTAGTTCTAACCTAAAATTTAGATTCCTGCCTGAAATTACTTGTTTGTTCTAGCCCAATATTTAGATTCCTGTCTGAAATTACTTCTTTGTTCTAGCCTAATGTCAGATTTCTGCCTGAAGCTTATTTCCTTGTCCTTGACCCATGTCAGATTCTTGTCAAGCAGCCCCAAAAGCTCTCTGCCTCTCCCTCTTTTTTATTTCATAAACAAGACTTAGGTCATTCTGCCAAGAATGCCTTCCTTACTCCTCATGGAATATGCATTATCAAAAGCAATATACTTCTGTCTTAGGTTGGTTACGCTTTGTGCAGAATCTTACCAGTCCTTGGCTTGCCAGCTTGTTAATTTAATAACTATGTCTGGGGGTCCATTTTCATGTTCAAGCCATGAAATTTGGCTGCCAACATGTTGATGTTGTTAAAGACAAGCTTTAACATGATGGGTAGGAATAAAAGTATTCCCAGGACAAAAAGGGCTAGCATGATCAGAAAGCCTTTCGTGACTTGCTCTCCAACCCTTGTAAGGTGTCTTGTTCTTGTTCTCATGCTGCTCTGAACCATGCCCTAATTTGTGTCATCATCCATGATGCCTTCTAATAACTCTGCCTTATTTCTCAATTCCTCATCACCTCAAAAACAGGTTTAACTTCTTGAAGGTTGAGCTGTGGGTTGCTTCACTAGCAGCCACTATTAGAAAAGTAAAAAAAGACAAAAAAATGAGTACACTTTATTAGTTTCCAGTTGATATGGAAGTGGCAGATTAATGAAGCAGCTCTAAGATCTACTCAATTATTCTTCCTTCACCTATTCTAATGCTGGCTTCTATAATCCCATAGTTTATAAAGAGCTGGTAGAAATAATTTTACATTCCTTGATTTTCCTACTACTGTGAGGTATCCATTTTCTAAAACTGGTTACTTAACTTGCTACCCTCTGCTGACAACACCTCACCCCACCTAGGGTATGGTATTAAAAGTTGATGCTTCACAGTATTTGTTGCTGGAAAGAAAATTCATTTATTATTTTTCATTAACAAGTGTTTATTCTTTGCTTGTGAACAATGTGAAATCTTTATAATAAAGGGGACAGTGGGCTGCAAAGACTGATCTGCCCATAACACACTAATACATTGACCTGCATTTTGTTGAAACATAGCATAAGTAATATTATTAGACTAAAATAGGATCCAAGCCAAAGTAGATTTCAACATGTGTCTGGAGATTGGGAACCTACTGCACACTAAGAAAGATGGCCAAAAGTGAACATGCTGTAGAATACTTGTATTTGCAACCATCTAAAACACTTAATTCTTAGAATTACACAAAATCCTACAGAAGAAAAAGGGGGCTACTACTACAGGGGTTCTCCACTGCTTCTCAACTAAGGCACTTTCCTTTTGTCTGTTTTATTTAAAATTACCCTGTGACATTTTAGTTGATGATCTGCCACCTGGCTGAAATAACTTCTATCTCAAAGTAAACCCTTGTATCTATGATTTACAAAATAACCATTTAATTCAACAACTTTGCTTTTTAAAATTTAAATCCCTCTGATATCTATTGTTAACATGCTTGGGGGAATGTTATACCACTGCTTTTTGTAACTGATGATTTTTGAAAGTACTTCTTTGGATTTGAAATAGTTTCTACGGGAAATTAGATTGAAACTAAATAGGTTTTAGCTATTAAGTACTTAAATCAATTTTAAAATAGGAAAGCAATATAAACACATCTCCAGAAACTATTGTTCATTTAAAAAAAGATGGATTGACAGCCTTTGCCTTTTATACATCACATTAGGCCATTTCCTTACTGAACATGACATTACCAGATTTGTCTGTGGAAAACCCATCAGATATGATGAAAAGAACCCAACTGTCACACACCATTCTTCTCTCATTATAGAGAGGAAGGAACACAAATACCCATGTATATATGCATGAGCTTATGTAGTTTACTGGAATCTCTTCCACATCACTGCCTTAAGAACAACTAAGTTCCTAAGAAGTACTCTCTATTGAAATATCACCTGTACTTTATTATATTCTCATCCTCTGGTGTTATCTATCATGACACATCATTGCTTAATTACTTTATCAAACAAATGTTTTTCCAGGAAAGTTACCTTTCTCTGTGAGCAATCAAACAGTAGCTGGAGAATGAGATGCTAATAATAGAGACTCCATTTATTCAAAACATACATTGTTTGCTTAAATTACCTAACACAACAATAGCAATGCTTCCTATAGATAGGAATATTAACTCTCGCTGAAATACTTCTCAAAAGCCACCATCATAGTTCCTAATAAATACTTTTTGTGAGCCAGCATATCTCACTATATTGTATCCATAATTCTCCAAAACAATAACCTTTCTACCTGTATAAATTAGAATGATGGAATTTGACAGTATCTTGATTATGGATATAATTCAACTAATAACATTTGCTGTGTATTCATTCCATGTATTTCCAAGTGCTTACTCCACTTACTACCATGTGTCCCACAGAGCTCACCTCTGTGAACCCTTATCAACTCCTTTCAAAAATACTGCCTTCCAGACAGGTTTGATGCTTTCAAGATGTATCTGGTAGTTGGCTTCCTTTCTCTTGGGCCACAGTTTGTCTAAAACTGCTTTTCTCCACATGTCACAGCTTGTATCTGGAATGTCTTTCCTTTCTTAGACATTAGTTGATACTTGCAAGTCATTCCTCCATTGCTTCTTTTAATAACTAGTTTAATAGTTGCTTCCAGTTTTTACTATTCCCTGAGCATGTCATTATGTGTTGGCTCTCATGATCCTACCTCCTACTTCTGTATATACTTCTTTACTGAATTCTCTTCAAGCATGCCTTCAGTGTTCTGCTTCCTGCTGACACAATGAGTGATACAAATATGATCTACTTCATCTTTATAATTCTATAAACAGATAATATCAACACTATAGCCTAATGAAATGAATGTGTTTTCTTTTATTATATACATATGCATTATTAGCTGGAGAACCAGAAGTGTACTATGTATTTCATACTTTTTATATAAACAATATTTTCTGAAATAAAATATATTATGAAAATGAAGTGTAAATATACCCAAATTAAATGTGAAGCCAGGCAAAGTAAAATATGCCTTTAATCCCAGCAGAGGTAGGTAGAGGTTGTCAATTCAAAGACAGCCTTGGTTACACAGTGAGTTACAGGCCCCTCAGGATTACATAGTGAGACACTGTCTCAAAATAAATAAAATTATAGATGGATAGATGATAGATAGATAATAGATAGATGGTAGATAGATAGACAGATAGATAGATAGATAGATAGATAGATAGATAGATAGATAGCGACAGCAACTACCCACAAGAAAGTATCTTTTAAAAGGCAAATGTAGCCAGTCCTGTCTATCACTAAGATGTTTACAGATTTAAGTATCCATAGATTGAAAATAGTTGTGTCAAAAAAAGAAAACAATTATGCCTACACTAAACAAGCATGTTTTATTTTTCTTGCCATTAATCTCTAAATAACACAGAATATCAACTCTTTCTGGAAAATAATCACTTGTGAATACTAAAAAACTATGACATATGCACAGGTACAATGTTGGCTGTTTTCTTTTCTGCCCTCATAGCTATTGAGTGCTTCTATTTGTTTTGATTTTTAAAGTAGTCAATTGTTCTGGCTTCACTATAAAATACTGACAATAAAGTTGGACAAGGAAATACTGGAAGAATTGGAGATAGGAGGTACACAAAACTAAGAATAATCTTATTTTCTCTGGTATTCCCCAACCCCTGGTGCTTGGACTGTGTAATAATGTCATTTCCCCTTTGTCGTTAAATGTACTAGTTATTTTATGCTGTTAACAATATCTGATAAACTTAAAGGCTATTCACATCTACTCTATAACTCTATAGCCAATTCTACACATTGAATTTCTTCTGTTGAAGAATCATGTATTCGTTTCTTTTCTGCAGATTGTTTCCTAGATGACATCACTGTGATAACAAGTAATTCCAAGGCTAGAAAAATGACAAAGATCAGTTTGTTGCTTATTATCCACCAGCCCATCTGCGGTACCTGATTAAGTCCAGAGGCTGATGCTTGTACCACATTCCCCAGCGTGCCCAGCGCTCATACAACAGATGTCTGTTATTCTGAGGTCCATGGGTTTTGATGGGAAGGCTACTCTTGTAGGCTCCCTGTGACAGATACAATAATATTGATTGTAGTCCATTCTCTTACTGAAGTTTGTACTGAATAAAAACTAGTGTTTCCCTAAGAAGATAACTTACCAACTAAATGGAAATTATATAGAGATTATATATTCAAGCTCATCACTAGAATGGTAGATGCTTTGTCACTAGAAATGATAGTTATAAGAAAATGTTTTAAATAATCTTTTCAAATAATTTGGTCCTATGTTATTTAGGTAAATGAGAGTATATATTTTACTCTTTGAAATTCAGGAATCTTAATTGAAAAAATGCTATCAATGACAAAATTCTTGTAATCCTTAATTGAGAAACTGATAATCATTCTGATTTAAGAAGTGAACTAGATTTTTAAAAGTTTTGTTTCACTTATAGATGAAAGAAGAATAAATGTTTACTTAAAGGCATGGTGTTATAACCTTTGGAGCCACCTGTGTTTTATCCTAGTGTTCTGAAAATTTATATCTGATATTTCAAGTTTTAATTAGTTATAACTGATTCTTTTCAAATTTTTTATATGGTATCCATGCACTTGTTGATCCCTAATCACTGGGGCTGAGAACTTATGATAATATCTTAACTCCTTGAACTCTGGTTTGCAAGTGTCTTGAGACTGCAATGAGATTACATATGTGCATGCCGTCTTTATGTATTTAATAAAACAGAAAAAATAGGTAAGATACAAACCCAAGGTGTTCTTCCTAAAATATCCCAGTATTTAAGGTCTAATGAATGGAAGCTAAAACCAGAAAGTAAAGAATCTTGATTTTAAGTGTAGCACATCCATGAGAGAAGAGTATTTGCTTTTGGAACTAGATTGCTGTCTGCCTGATAATGAAAGGATGAATAGCAAGCCTGTCACTCTTTTGCAGTCATTTATGATAAATCTAATATATTCGGCATCATCCATCCTTAGTGGTCAAGCCATATACATTTCTAGATGCTAAAATTTAGGATACCTGGGATACTACCATGCAACAAACCCTTACTACCAACAACTACACTGCTCTAGATTGACAGTGATAAGTGGTGAGCTATAAGGGAAAACTGGATGTAGAGATAACTCTAGCCTACCTGGGAAGCTTTCTGAAGACTCAAATATCACCAATGGTCCCCAACCACACCTTTGATTGATCCTTCCTCCACCAATCATCCTTGAAAGAATTATAAATTTTCCTAGTGTCTTAGAAAAAGTATTTTTCATACATCTGCACCTTTGGCCTAATTCTTTTGTCTTTTCCTGGCAGTTCTCACTAAGATGATTTGATGTGTCCTCTAGCTGTTGTCGTTTTTTTTTTTGTAAAAAAAAAAAAAGAGTCATTTGGACTAAGAATACAGATTATGAGATTGAATTTGTTATCCAGTATCAATTACAAAGGAAAGCATTATTTTACAGTATCCTTAGTGGACTATAGATTAATACCATTGACTTTATTTCATTCCTTGTAAATTTTGCTTTTCTACCATTAGTAAATAGAAATTCACATCAATAGACTAGTCCTGAGCCCATTTTATTGTTTCTCAATTATTTTTTAAGTGCATTTACAGTTCACCAATGGGACTTCTTATTTTTTGGTGTATATTGCCATTTATTTATATTTCAAATAATTTATATGCACAAATGAAAAGGACTATTATCAACAACTCAGCTATGACAGCTGCCGAATTTCCAATGAGAAACTCAAGTGAGCTGGCAGTGCCTAAGCTAACTTTGCAGAGAAAATTACTATACCCTAGATAATGAACCAAACCTTCCTCTGTTTAATGACTCCCTTAGTTGTGCTTCTCTGATCACTTTATCTTCTACTATGTGGTATTTATTTGAAATTGTGTTTAATTTTTCTGAGCTATGTTCCTTTATATCTAACAAGAGAATGTTTACTTCATTCTGCGTTGTCACAATCATGGAAAGTATGAATTGACTAAGCACATGACATGTGCACAAACTAATCATGACTATTACCTCTATCTTTTACAATAAGTGGGCATTTTCATTAGGATCATAAACTTTTGGCTTCCTATGCTTATAACTGCCTATATAACTGGATTACATATGTTTATAATGGAGTTATATTGTCAGTAGCATGTTTTTTTCTCAAATGAGAGTTAATCCATATGAAAGATTTAACTCATTGACAAATACACTTCCAGTTTATTTTATAGACTAGTAGTGATACAGATCTGCAAATTTCTCATATGCTCTAACTGTTGAACTCACTGCTAAAACTTTGTAAATCAAAGAATGATGGCTTTTGAAAGTAAAGATGTGAAATATGTCATTTATTTTAAGATGTGACTCAAGTTTAAGAAAAATAAATCAAGAGTATGCATCTCAGAGGGCCAGGGGAGTTCTATAGATTCTCTGTTAGTTGTTTAGGGCCACCTCAGCTTGCTTCTTAAATATTATAGAAAGCCAATAATCTGACTGAAAATGAGGTAGATAATTCATGAATTCTTTGATTATGTTTTTTGTTTTTGTTTTTTTTACTTTCAGGCATTCTAAAATACCAAACACAAGGCAGGAACCTGCCTTATTTGGAATGATTATGTTTTTCAAGCAGGATGAAGCATGGCGTGTTGTTTTAGAGCAGAAGGTAACTAAAATATTAAGCTGCTCTCATGGAGTCTGAGATTCCTCACATAGGGCAAACTGCAGACATGTTTTTGAGTGGAGGGACCACTGTACAGGTAAGGGATAGTAAAAGGGTCTCAGTGGACTGTTCTAGGGGTGGGCAGCCAGATCCAAATGAATGAAATGGTTCAGGCACTGTGACGGTTAAAATGAGAAAAGTCTCTAATGATCTCAGGCATTTGAAAACTTGGTCCTCAGTGGGTGGAGCTGTTTAGGGAGAATGAGGAGATGGGTCAGGAGGAGGAAGTATGCCATTGTGGGTGGGGCTGGAGAGCTTATAGCCTCATCCTAGCTCCTTTCCCTGCTTGCTTTTTCTTGTTCAAGATGTGAGCTCTCCTTTTGCTGCTCCAGTCACCATCCCTGTTGCTTGCTGCCATGCTGCTCCCATCATGGACACTAGTCCTCTAGAAGCTGAAGCCCAAATAAACCTTTTCCTCCATAAGTTGCCTGTCGTGGTGTTTGATCACAGCAATAGAAAATAACCAATGCAGACCCAGAGAATGAAATTCTTTTAGTTTACTAAATGGAGAATATCTTTCAAAATTACCTCATGTGGGGGGAATGCTGCTATGTATGAGCCATTATTGATAAGCTTACGGATACCTAAAGAGAGATGAAAAAACAGAGTCAATTTCAATAAAGGTTTTCCTTTAAAGCATATATAAACTCACATGGGACACAAAATTATTTTAAGACTAAAATTAATTCAAATGACTTCCATAGCCATGCCAACCACAGGGACGGTCATTCTGAGAAAGAGACTGGTACTCAGCCTATGTGTGTTCTTATAGTATTATTTGCAAGCATTATTGTTACCTGGCAACAGCCAAGTATGCTTCTCCCCACGGTTACCTGGCAACAGCCAGGTAGGCCTGCCCACTATAAAAGGGGCTGCTTTCCCCCTCCTCTCTCTCTTGCTCTCTTGTTCTCTTGCCCTCTTGCCTCTCCCTTCCCTCTGTCCTCTTGCCTCTCCCCCTTTCCCTTCCCCCTCTCTCCACGTGGTCATGGCTGGCCTCTTCTTCTTCTTCTTCTTCTTCTTCTTCTTCTTCTTCTCCTTCTCCTCCTCCTCCTCCTCCTCCTCCTCCTCCTCCTCCTTCTCTCTCTCTCTCTCTCTCTCTCTCTCTCTGCCTCTACTACCCTCCTGGTTCCCCTCCCCATGCCCTGAATAAACTCTATTCTATGCTATACCTTCATGTGGCTGGTCCCTCAGGGGGAAGAGATGCCTCAACATGGGCCCGCTGAGACATCCCCTTACATCATTGGTCCCCTTCCATCATTTCAATCGTCAACACAAGATTTCATTCTGCCATATCTCAATGTGATGTGTGGTGAATTGTTAATTCCCACTTCATGGGAGAACATGAACCAAGAAATCCTTTTTCATCAACTTGTGAATACAGCAAAATTTAGTCAAAGAAGAATTTTCTACTTCCATCAAATGACAGGAAAGACTGTTACATCGAAAAATATTTGCTTATGCTAAGTGAAAAGGTCATAAAATATCATAGTCAGACTTGTCATCTCATTGAAGGTATGTACGTGAAGTTTTCTTTTGAGAATGAATACTGAGAAAACTTTCTGAAGAGGAATTTTTGCTATGATATTATTTATTCATATATATGAAAGAAATATATGTGCCCCTGAAATATGGACTTATTTATCATAGTGCAGACACAATTGCATTAAGTGCTCAGTAAATAATTATAATTCTATGAGAGTTTATCTGAGACTGTTGTACAAGTGTTTAGAACAATATTTTCATGTGATAAAAAGGACTTGAGAAAATACTCTGTAGGTTTTATAAAGCAAAAAGTGCATACAAAATACACACTTATATTTGAAATAATATATTTTAGTTTTTTTCTATAAATTTGCCACTGATAACTTTGCTTAGGAATAATTTTTATATTATTTTAGCTTTTCTGTGGTTAGTATATTTTCCACAAAAGAAATACCTTTAATAATCATTTTAAAATATCATATAAACCTATAATTATAAGTTTCCATCATATAGGAAAAATTTTCAGCTCATACTCTGGGTATTATAACTTTTGACTCTTAGAAATTTTGCAATTGTTTTGGATAAAGTTTTAGTGTCCAAGGTAATAGCTTTGATTGCTAGATCACAAATGAGCAATTAATCAGAAAACAACAACAGCAACAAAACCAGGCCCTGAAGATTCTTCTTTACCAAGTAAACATGGGACATGATTCTTTACACCTGCACTGTTCTCGATCCTAGCACAATTAGGAAGCATGGTAATAGCGTCCAAGTGTTGCCAACATTTAATTTAAAAGATTTTAGAACATTTGGATAACTTTGTTTTCCTCAATTTTGCAAATCAGCATCACAATTAAAAGGTCAAGCTTTGTATTGGTTTTGTTTTGTTTCCAATTCTGTGTAAGGTTGCAGTCTTGTTCTAGCTTCAAATCTCCCATTAGCTTTTGCATTTTAAACTGCTAACCCCAGGAAATCACAGAAAATTTAATACGCTAAAATAAGTGGCAATTTAATATTCCATTTAATAATCTCTCATAGATTTCTTACACACTCTTGTAGACTTTCAATTATTCTTTATTTCTATGTATTGAGAAAATGGAGTTACATTAGACTAAATAGCTTTGTAATTTGCTCTTTACCTAGTGAATTGTGAAGATCTTTCAAATTCAATATGAGCTAGAAACTAATTTTAACCTCTGAGTTGAAAATCTGTATCATAAACTGTTTAATATAGAACAAATAAGAAATAAATTATATAAAGTATACATCTACAGATAGAAAAATTTAAAACCATGTTGATAATAAGAAATTACATAATTTTTAACAGTTATGAATATCTAAAATTATGAATGTAGTAAATTTGACATTTCTAATTTTATATTATAAAAACATGCTGAACCTTTCTAACCCTACTTTCATTTAAAACTGCTATTAGTTTAGGATACATTTTGTAATTATGTATTTATATGTTTCACATTTTGAATCTTTGACAAATGCCCTCAAAATATATTTTTAATAAAAATTAACAATACAAAATATTTATAGAATTTGTTTCTGATATGTTTAGTATTTCATACTGAATGGGAAAGGTAAAATTTTCAGTTATTATGTATGTAACTTTTCTATTTTAAACTGTGTCTGTAAAATAATGTTCTTACCCACTTTTGATATTCCATTTTCATATTTGGTGCGTTCCAGCATGTGATAAACTATCCTGCTTCGAGTAGCATTGCTGAAGAAGGTGTCCTTATTGTTTATTATAAAGCTGTTAAGACAAAGTGATTGGTTTTATTATTCAGAGCAGAACACAAAATGTATTCACTATTATGAATTCTTGGGTATCCACCTTCTGTCCCTATAATTAAAGGTAATACTAGTAAAATATTCTAGGATGAGAGAGAAGTTGTCTTCTTTCACAAAATCGACTGACAGATAATAGAAACTACAGAGATCAAATATTTATCTTAGCATCATCTTTCAGTTTGTAAAATGGTCTTGGTATTGTTATATGTCCTGTTTATCATAGAATAAAAGTAAGTTAATCATTTACTGGCTAGTGTTTATGCCACCTCAAGCAATGTAGCTCCAAGTAGAGCGCTTTAAAAATTGATGTTATTCCCCTGTGCAGAAACTTTCCACTCCAGCTTATCCAGTCTTCAGAGCTTAGTGGTTTCCTATGGTTCTCCTTTCCCCCTGATACCATAAAATGTGTCTGCATGGGAAGACCACAGGATCCCCAAGAATGTGGATGATACAAAAAGCAAAGGAGGATTTCACAATGAGAGAACAGATCTGTTTAAAAGTTTATAATGTACTGGGAGTCTCCAAGAAGTGGAATGGTCTGGATCTTACCGGATTGTAAAACTCTGCTTTTAGACACTTGAGCTCTGTGTACAATAAGCCATCTTCTGTCAGATATTTTATGTGAGAGTATTAATTATTCTATCCCTTACTTCCTCCTCATCGCACATATTCAGAGAGTTACTAAGGTAAGTAACTTTCCTGATAAATCACCTGTCTCCACGGTACATTTCCATTTTCCTGAGTGTCCAGGTTCCTGGACTAGACTGTGAGATGATCATCTTCCTAACTTCAATTTCCACCTGATTTTACAGCTGGCTGTCATGTGAGCACATCCCCCTACTTGTAGCATGGCATCGGCATCTTTGAAAGGGCCTGATTAGCCCTCTTACTTTCCTACAATGTCTGTCTATACTTGTGTTTGAGCCATCCCCCCAACCCCAGTCTTACTTCTGTATCTCTGGTTCTTACATTTGATTGCATAATGAATTGTATAATTACTATCACCTTAAAAATCTCCTGCTTTCCTGGCTTCCTTTTCTTTGGATTTTTTGATTCTCCTGTAACAATTGCTCTTCTTTCTTGTTATCAATAATGTCTTCACGTTCCTAAAGAGGCTTTCCTCTTTCAAAAAGGTTTCCCAGATCATTTACACTGAAAATGGCCCACTCTTTGCTGTGACATCTAATCCATGGTTTCTCAGTGCAGAGGTTTTTACCCAGCCTTGTTTATCGCAGTCTGCACAGCTGCCCCTATTATTACATGTTGAGTTCCTCAGTGTTTAATATTCTGCATCTTCAGATATACTAAATTCAGAGCCTTAGTAACTATAGGCAGCAGAAAGATTTAACCCTACCAGTTCTTATGCAGACAAGTTAAGTTTTTGGGAAGTTGTGTTATGGAGGAATTAAGCAGGTGGTATAAGTAAACAAGTAAATAAATAAATCCAACTTGTTTCTGTGAAAAAATGTAATTATGATAAAGTGAGTGATTGGGGCAATAGGTGATGGCAACAACTTTCTGGTATGATTTTTCTTAGATAATGATGTCTAATAGATGCAGACTAGTAGGAAGAAAAACACCCTGCAAAACTCAGGGGCAGAATAGGTCAGGAGAAAAGTAGTAATGATTCTGCTGGAGCTCCACCAGAACAGTTGGATCATGGACCCAAGGCTTGTGTAGCTTCACTATGTGATGCCTGCAAAACAGGGGAAGAAAGAGGTGCACAGTGATGGCATCTTGGTGAACATAAACTGAAGTTTTTGGTAAATATCAGTGGGACTCTACTGGGAGGCACAAGCCAGATGTTTTCATGATCCGATTGGTGTATTTCAAAGACTGAGATTGTTCCTTTAGTTTTCAAAGGAGGAGAAGAACATTTTGTTTCACCTTATTTGGTGCAAGCACAGATCTTTAAGATTCTGAGAAGGTACAACAGAAAACCGATGAAGGCTTCTGGGTTGTGAGCTCTCTATATGTGTGAGTCTATGTTCAGTCTTACCCTCATCTCTCCAGAGCTGGAATTGGAAAGGATAGTTTTATGTGCATCTCCACACAAACATACACATGCATGCACACATATACACATATATACACAAACACACATGTGCACATATACATGTGTATATATACATGTACCCACAAACACATATATACACATACACATACAATTTACACAAATGTGAAAACACATACACATGCATATACATATATACCGTATATCATATATTTCTCTATATCTGTGTTTGGCTTATTTTATTTAGATTTACCATTATTTTCTTTTCTGAACTATTTGTCCAAGGGAACTATGGAGGCAAAGGCAAGACATATATAGTAATGAACTTTGTAATTTCATTAATGAGCTGTAGAACCTCAATAAAATATTTGAATGAAAGCATGGACAATTAAACAGATATGAAAGAAGCCAAGGAAAAAGAAAAAGATTTGTCAGAGTGGGAGGTGGAAAGATACGGACAAGAAAAGCAGAGACAAGTAGCCTTCCCTAAAGAAATTCTCAGTTTCTCTAGTTTAATAAGATTAAACCAACTGCTTACTTGCTAAATTAGTGTTGTTAAAAGCAGCCCTATTATTGTTGCCATTATAATTTTAAATGAATTGTTTTCTGCCTTAATTATTTTAAAAAGATTTATTTTATGTGTATGAGTGTTTGCTTACATGTATATATGTATGTATGTATAATACATATGTGACTAGTGCTTGCAGATGCCAGAGATGTTGTTGAATCCCTTGTAACTGGAGTCACAGCCTCCAAGTGTGTGCTGTGGCTCCCCTAGCACTAGAGTCAGACAGCTGTGAGTTTCCATGTGTGAGTTCTGGGTTCCCTGTAACTGGAGTCAGAGGCATTTGTAAGTCTCCATGTGTCTACCAGAAACTCCTCTGCTGATAGTATCAGGTGCTTTAAATTGTTGAGCCATCTCAGCATCCCACAGTTCTTACTTCTAATAAATATTTAGATTACCAGTCTATAGATTAATATTTGATTATTACTTGACAACACCTGAATCATGAAATTTATATAGAATCAAATGTTCACTTAGTGCTGTTTCTAAGTTAGACATAAACTCTAATGCAATAATCCATTCTCTGACTTATTTGGTGGCCAATGGGAATATCCCCAGCTATTTGTCTTCTATAAATAAGCTCAGGAAATGAAAACTACAAAAGCAGGACATAGAAAAGAGATGAGCACTCACTGGTGAATCCTGGCTCTGCTGAAAGGGCCAGTGTAGCAGTCTGACTCCTCCAGCTCCGGAAATGCTGACTTGTCAAGGACCATTGGGTTTTGGGACATCCACTTCTTGACTCTCTTGAAATAGTTTTGTACCCTGGAATGAAGTCAAATTTCAGAATTAAATAAGGTTGTTTTCCAAAGCTATGTTAATTTTCTGTTACAGCTTTCTTAAGTATTAGAGAAAAATGATTCCAGGTGATAGATACCTACCACATACATACACACACCCACACACACACATGCCACAAAGATATACCACACAAACATACACATGCATGCACACATATACACATTATACACAAACACACACGTGCACATATACATGTGTATATATACATGTACCCACAAACACATATATACACATACACATACCATTTACACAAATGTGAAAACACATACACATGCATATACACATATGTACACACACATACATACACACACAGAGAGATACTCACATATCCATGTACACACATGTAGACACATACATGCAACATGCACTTTCATACACAGATATGTGCACAATACACACATGTATATACATACTCATGTTTTTAAACATGTACAAATGTGAATGAAGATATGCACATGCATACAGGTATTTGTACACACATACACATGTATATACATAGACATATTAACATAAAACTCACACACAAAAGTGCATGTATATAAATGTACACATATAAACACAGACATCCACCTATATTGCACACACATTTACATCTCCCCCACATACACATATACACACATATACACTCTACACATTTGTACGCACTCATGCACACACACTGACAGAGACACACACATACTTCTGCTTTCACAACTAAGAAATAAGTAGTAAAATAATCCTGCATTGGTTTAAATTCTTTCAGAGAAATAATAGCTGTGTATAAAACATTTTAAATTATCTTACGTAAAAGTGGCTACAGGAAGAAGTATTATTAAAAGGCAGCATGCTATATTTCTTAAAGCTGTATGTATGTTGCACTTGTGAACATAAATTACTCCCTGACTCTTTATAAAAGTGTGAAATTGCATATAAATGAATATTGTATATGTATTCTAATTGAATCATTTTTATCATTTTTCTTATACCGAGTAAAAAATAAATCAAGACATAGGACTGACCTTCTGTATCGATTCTGAAAATCTAAATTCTGTTACTATAACAACAGCTGTTTTCATTTAAAAATACCATGCAGTGTTTTCAGTGATAATGGTGTGCTGCTGGGGATTCTTGGTGTCTTTTGTGCTAAAGAGGCCAAAATATCAGGAAAAGTATCTCTAAACACAAATATAATCTATCATGACATTAGCTTTGTCAGAGTTTGAACTTCAGAAAACAATTAAGATAGCAAAATGCAAGCAACAAATACTGTATTTTCAGAATTAGCTCAAACAAGCTTATGATGATAAAATTACCATGAGGAATTTTAAGTAAGAGTTAAATCCTGCTGAAAAGCTGAGGATGTAAAAAAGATTTCTTACCAAGTCAGATGATCACTGGAATTCCAATATGTTCAGTTTTGGGGGAACTACAACACTTATTTTAAACCTAAACTAACAAGCAGTTTCTGAGGTGTTCAGTTTATTGATTGTCGTTATTAAAGAAAGCCTTTGAACTAATAAAATATACTTGTATCCTAAGGTCAATGCAAAGACATGTAGAAAACATGAGTAGAGATCAATTTCTCTAGCCTTTTAAAATTCAACCTTGCTTTTAAAAGGCAACAGAATATGCATATTAGATGAACAATAAGAGCTAGATTTGCCAGTTTCTGAAACTAGACAAAACAGTTCAATGCTTGAGCTCATGTTCTCAGCTCTAAGGACAGGAAGTGATACCATTTGTAATATAGTAGAAAAAGGTCAGAACAAACCAAAGAGCAACTCCAAGGACACTTGGATAGTGTAGACGAATGGCAGCACCTAATGGCTCACGTTCTCTGGCTGAATTAGAACAATCTAGAAATAACTGAATGTATAACATTTATAGATGCATCTTAAGATTATCACCTTCTGTTGTTAATAGAAAATAAACTCTATTACACTTAGACTTTCATAAACATTTTCTAAGAAGGAAAAATAGTCTCAGGTGGTGAAATGTCTTCAACCCTGGATTTAGAACTAGATCCCAGAGCCTGGTTAATTTATTTCATTGTTCTTTGTTTAGTTTTTCCATTATTAAATGAACATCTTGAGAACTAGACATATAGTAGAAATGGTGCAGTATGTGTTCAAATTGTCACTGTAATAAGGTGGAAAATGAACGTTGTATTACTTTTTATACAGCTCCAAACCTTGAAACCAACACAATTTATCACATTATTAACACCCATACATTTTTATTATATTGGACATCTTTTCAATGGTGGATTTTTAGGTAAAAGATGAAGATTACTTTAACATAGTTTTAGTGTCTTTATTCAAATATGAGTGGAAGGTAAGAAAATTCTAAGGAAATAAAAATACAGATCAAAGGGCTCAGAGAATATGACTAAAAGACAAACTGCTGAAACATTTGTGAACGTTCTGGATTGGACTGCAGAAGGGGATCATAAGGGAGTCAGCTATCACCTCCCAGCTACAACACTAGATATTTCTGTCCTGTCTTCCTTGCACATTATTTTGATGATGCTTTAATACTGGGACATGAAAATGGTTTGTAAATTAAAATTAAATTTCTGTAATTATTAGCTATTAGCCTTAGTTATTTTATCTAAAGGTGCCTAGAGATATGTTGATCATCAGAAGCAAGTAAATGCCCAGACATTTCTATCCCTAGTGTTTAATGGCCAGAATTATCAAAACACAATTATTTTTTCTATTGCAAGAAAGAAAAAATACTAATAAAGTGTGCACATTAGATATACATTTTACACTCTACTATTTTAACTGACTGTGCCTAAAAATATTGTAAATATTGACCATTTATGCCTGGCTTTTGAATACACAGCATTTACTTTTTTCTCAGAATTCAAATTGAAAGAAAAATCAGAATCAATTTTTCTTAGGTGAATATGTAAATAACTATAAGCAAGCAACAGAAAAATTTTCCTTTCATTAGATGCTCATGCTGTGTATTCTTATAAGCCCTTTACTTTTTGATACCTACCCTTCACAACTCAACTCCATGAAACAGAGAAACAAAGGAAACTGCTTGCAACAAATTAAATGTTAGGGGACAGATTATCTTAATATTTCATATAAATTTTATGAATTTAAACAAAAATAGTCAACATAAATTATCACAAAACAACATGATATAGTATTCAGTTTTTATAGTTTAGTTGAAAAAAAAAAGAAAACTTGAGCACCATATACCAAAGACCATTTTACAATTATTAAAATGTTTCAAAATTGTCTTTTATACTAATGCATATGCTTAATTTGAAACTTAAGTTAACTTCAAATTTGAACTATGATAATATTATGTAAAATACTTTATATAAATTTTAACATTCAAAAATTTATCATTTAGCAAAACTCTTAAAAATGCCTATTCAATAGTAAGTCTACTACTAATGACACAGTTGAAAAGTTAAATCTGGAACAGTTAAAATGGACCCAGACAAAAACATGTTGTTTAAAATAGACATAGTGTTTAAAAAATATTCTCCCATTACAATTTATAAAGTTTAAAATTATGTTCATTCATTTTCTTTGACAAAGTCATAGATTTACCAATCTTTTACTAAAACGATGTTACACAGTATGTTTCTCTGTGGTTTGCATCATTCTGAATATTCTAGTCTATACACTGTTACTCATGGCCTAGTACACTGCTACCTTGATGCTGAAGTGGTTTTTTTTTTGTCAATTATTGTTTTGAAATAGAAAGAAAAGTAGTTATCAATATGAAGCTTTATTTTGTTGTAGAGCCTTCCTTAAGTGGACATGTATGTCTTCCATTTGAATAGAGTTAAGATTAAGATACAAGAGTTCCTCTGTCTCTAGATTGTAGCTAATTCCTTTTCCATAGCTATCTGACTGCAGTGGATAAAGTGCAGATATTTGAGATGAAGCTCATGGAAACAATTTATTTTCATACCTGGGCAAGAAAAGCAGGTTAGAGGGATAAAGGATAGACCTGTAACACAAAAGTTTCAGAATGTCTTGGGAAGCCACCATTTTCTACCAGAAGCTACTCTCTACTGCACTGTGAGAGGTAAGAAGACTGGACTCACAGTTCAAAAGTATTTCCAAGTGTACTATTCTCATAGTCTGTGAGATTATCATATAACCAGTGGTCCTGATTTTTTAATAATCATTTTAAAAATTAAATTTCTTGAAATACTAACTTACAGTTCAAATATCCCTTGCTTAGTATTATATCTTGAAGACATTCTAGATTGACCATAAAAATAATAATATAGAAATTATATTTGTGTGTGTATAAGACAAGCCATATTAAAATTGTCTCAGGAAATCTACAAAATTTTCTTTCTAAAATTTATAACTGATGATAATGGATATTCAAAGTTTCTCTTCTTTATATTTTTTTGTAAATTACAATTTGGTAACAAAAAATATGCGTCTGTTACCAACCTGCTCATTGATTTGTTCTTCTGGTCAGTATAGTAACATTTCTTCCTGAAAAGAAAAACAGAAATGATTTGAGTAAAATACAGTTAGGCCAGAAAGTTACAGTATTCAACAATATTAAGGTATAGACACTCCAGTTTCATACACTGAGTAAATAAAGACATTTGAAATCAAGCCATTATGTTATAACAACAAATTGATGTGCCTTTAATTTCAGAAGTATAATGACAATTTAACAAAACATTTTAAAATGCACAAATTGCTTTTGAATACATTATTTTTAATTATTTGAAAGTCTGTCTTCTGTAACTCAGTACATACTAACTGTATTATTTACTTATATACTGTATAAAGTCATCAATCCAATCTATCCATACATCTTTCTAAATGTATATATAAATGTCCTAGGCTGTTTCTCTGTTGGCATGACAAAACATTCAGTAAATAGCAACTTGGGCAAAAAAAAGTTCATTTTATTGTATATTTCTATGTATCATTTCCTTATTACGGGGAATTGGGGCAGGAATTCAAGTCAGGAACTGGAAGACAGGAACTGAAGCATAGGTCAAAGAGGACCACTGCTTACTAGCTTGCTTCCTATGGCTTGCTCCTTTTGTTTTCTTATTCAACCTGGACGACTTGCCCAGAGATGATGCTGACTACATTGGGCTCAGCACTCCCACATCAGCCATTAATCAAGAAAATGCTCCACAGACATGTTTCTAGGCTAACCAGGTAGATTTGCAATGAATACATAGCTCAGGGCAGCACATTGTGGTGAGAATAAGTGTTCACACCTGAAAAGAACATTTATACCACCCTTTTTAGGGCTCAGGGAACATTATGGAAGAGGAGGCCTGAAGAATGTTAACAATCAAAGGACAGGGCCAAAAACTGTGAAATGCTATTTTTTGGACTTGGTGCAGTCATTGCAATCATGAATGCATGCCTGCCTATTGTTGCCTGAATAGGTCTTCATTCCACTAATTCTGTCAACATTCATTCATCGTTAGGGAGAGATTCATGGGGCCCTACCCCTCCCTAGGGAACTACTGACTATTGATTGTGGCTGGAAAAGGAAGAATAATTGTCTTCAGTTCTGTACCTATTGGTGAGCCTGCAAGTTGATAGTTCCATGTCTGTGGCCATGTGGACAGCACTGGTTAAGTTCAGTAGCCACAAAACACAACAAAAGACGTGCGTTTGGGAAAGAAATTTAAAAAGAGGAAGTGTTACCGTGGCATGGTTTCAGAGGTATAATAGTTAACTTACCTTATCTGAATTCAGGAATCTGATATTTTGGGCCTTCCAAAATTCCCTTCTATCTTTACCATTAAAATTTCAGAAGCTCACTGACCCCATGGTACCATAATTAGTAATTAGTTTGATGTAGTTATGAATGGTCAAGAAGATCTTTGAGATGTCACAGATGTCATACTTATTTTCAGTTACAGGTCGTGATGATCTAACTCACTTGTCAACTTGGAAAGATCTGGAATTTACTAAGAGGCAACTGCTATGCATTCCTATGGGGGGGGTCTCTTTATCAGTTTATTTGACTTGGCCAGATCCACCATGAATGTGGGTGGCCCTTTGGCAGCTCAAATAAAGAAGGTGGAAGAAGGAAACTTTGCTTTTGCCTCTCTGACTTTGCCTTCCTGTTGGCAAGTTCATCTGTGCTGTTAATGCTGCTTCTGCCATCCTTCATGGACGTTAGAACCTAGCTTCTTCAGACTGGCAATATGAATGAAGACTAATGGCTTTCCAGGAATTTTCCGAGCCTAAGCAGTAGATTGAGACTGCTGTGTCCTCTTGTTCTGTGGACTGACCATCTGCCATGTTCTCAGCCTCCTTAGTGGGAGATTGTGAGATAATCATTGGTGGACTGTCCAGACTGTAACATGGAAGCTAATCCAGTAAACTCCCTTTACATATATTCAATAACTGTAGTTACTAAAGTCAGATATAAAATTGCAGGGCTTGCTTTCCATACACTAAATTTGCATTTTAAATATCTTCATTTTTTTCAAACATAAACAAAAGTTAGCATTTACACATTAGTACTAATTTGAAATCTGTAGGTTTTCTTCTCTTTTTTTATTTAAACAAAGTACTATTGATTTGCATTTGTTTCTTTCTTTCTTTATTATCTGTCTGTCTAACTGTTTATTTGTTTAATTTATTTGTTGCTGTGTGTGCAAGCATGTAGGTCAAAGGGAAGTTCTTTCTCCCATCATGTGGGAACTAGGGGCCAAAGTCATATCCCCAGGTTCAGCATCCAGTACCCGATGAGTCATCTTGCTTACTCAAAGTTTTAGCTTTTCTTTGTTGAATATAATAAGTTTCACAAGTAATGTTTTAGTGGATAATTTAGAATGAATAATTAATGCAATAATAAAACTCTTATTCTTAAAAAACCTATATGCCTTTTACTAATGATGATGATAATGAATGATAATGATTTTATATAGTAATTCCTCTATAATATAAAGGAATTAGTTCCAGCATACACTCCATATATGGTACTGTATGGTTATGTACACAGTTATCTATACCATTGGTATAATATTTGTATCTAACTTATAGATATCCCCATGCACATTTTAAATCATTTCTAGGTAACTTAAACACCTAACATAATAAAAATTCAATGTAGATAATACTCAGTTGCTTATTTCTCCATATGAATGAGATAGCATCTTTCATGGCTTGAGATGTATCAGATGTCTGAAGACACTTGCATTAACATCTCTTCCTTTACCTCAAATACTCTTGAGGGTTGACATAAGGCTTTTCAGTGTGTTAGAGGGCTGACTTAGTGCACACTACCAACTAAGAAATTTTTCATCATATTTTAATTGAGCTCAATGTTCACATACACTTACCAACCTACCTTTACCTGCAGTCTCATTTTCTCTGAACATTTTACTGCTTCTTAGCATCTGATGGGATCTGTGGAACTCCACATTCAAGGAAACATTCCCACTGTCAATATGAGTGAGCACTCTGCACATAGTGTGTACACCATGAATACTACACTGGGACATGATGGAGGGATTGGTAATTCTACATTGAATCCTAGATACTCCAGCTAGGCTACCACTTTCCTTTGTCCCCCAAAGACTGAAAACCCTTGAAAGAACATGATCTACTTTTATTCCTTACTGATTGATATTGAGGACAGAGCTCTGGGTGACCTGGTCTGAAAAACAGTTCTTGCTAAAATTCACAAGAAATAAGAACTGGGATTGATACTGGAAGTTGCTTAACGCTAAAAATCTGAAAATAACTATTTCACCTCACCTCTAGGCAAATTGGCCTTGAAATGACATTGCATGTTCAGGGACTCAGAAACCTTACCACATTATTCAGACAATCCAGGGGGAAAACTGGCTAATATAGCCTAAAATTTAAAAGAGAAATAATTTTCTCTGAATAAAAGACCACATTTATGGCTGTTAGGTGTTACAAAAGACAGACTCATCCTAATAATATTGAGAGAAAATGAAATAATGTATAAAGTACCTGAAGGGCACTCTGATGTTCAGCCTCTCTGCGTACTTGCACAGTGTGTCCCATGGAATGTGAATTTTAATAAACATGATGTCAGGGTTTGCAATTGCTGGCTGCAAAAGTATGGTAGAGGTACCATTAGAATCGGAACTGGTGGCAGTCTATCATTATTTTATTTCTAAGGATGAAAGAGTATCTCTGTGTACATGAATCATTCTCATTTATATAAAGGGAAATTATATTGTTGAAAAGTCTTCATTATACATATACATATATATATATATACATATATATATATGTACACACATACACACACACACACACACACACACACACATATATATATATTATATCCATAAACAAACTTTTTATATCTGAAGGTTTCCTTAAGTTGTTTCAGAGAAATGCCTCATTAGAGTCCATTCAAACTTGAGTTGAAGCCTGATGGACATCCACAAAAAGGAGTCTACTCATTCAAATGTGGCTTCTTGATAAAACAAACCCCAAATTTCCACACAAAACATAGTAATTCCCATAGAAAGAAACATGTGACCCATGAACAGACACGGTGCTTATCTCTGCCTGAATAAAGTAACATTAATGTTTTCCCTTCTCATGGTCAAATAAGCAACAAGCTTCTTTCTTCCCTCCCCTCTATGGATTCCCAAGTCCTGGGCAATGGAAAGGACACATTTGATGTCTTCTTAATGCCAGATCTTCAATAAAAATCTCTCCTTTTGTAAAAATGTGATGTCATGGTTCCTTACCAAGTGCAAGGGCTAACGAGTTCTTGCTCACTGTATAAGGACATTATCTACTAGTTAGCTATCTTATATTGAGCATTCTTATATTGATTTACAATTCAAAAATTAATAACATGAAAACTAAAGGTTTCACATTATTCTTTATAGACAGGTATTTGAGACCCCCCCACACTTTTCACTTAGAGAGTGTATACAATATTAAAAATCATCAAAAATTTTAATTAATTCATATATTCTTGTGGTACACTTTTGAAGTAACTGTCAAATCATCCAACTCTTTGCTGGGTCCGGTGACTGTATTGTGAGGAAAAGGGGCTTTTTAAATGATAAGATACCCTTAGTACAATTGACCATTACATTTGTAAGCTTAGGGCTAGCATTGTGCAAAGCATGGGAAAACCAACAAAACACCCTTTCATGCCAGCATAATTTCTGAAGCATGTTTTCTGCTTAAAATACATTTGTTTCTGTTTAAAGGTAAAATGTGTGAAAACTGTAACTGACCATGTGAGAGGCAGACTTAGGATCTTAAGTTTCTATAGATCTTCACATACAGTCCAGCATTAAACATATTACCTATGCTTGGAAAATGACTATAATTTTGTTATTTTTTGATAAGTTCATTCATTTATACCATTTCCACCTCTGCTCTCCTCATCCAACTCCTCTGCTGCTGCTCCTTCTCAAATTCATATCTTATTTCTTCTGTAATTATTGTCGTTACACACAAAAATGTTGATGAATCTATTAGTGTTGCAAATGGCATACACTTCATACACTTTTTTTGAAGCACCACTCATTCAAGCAACAACTTAAATATATTTATAATCCCTTTAGATATCTGGCATTTATCAAGATAAGAGAGGAGACTATGATGTTGATCTTACCAGACGCTTTATAATCACTGTCCAGAATTAAAGGAAAGGTTCCTATTTAGGCATGACAGAAACAATAAAAACATTTGCAACCAGAAGTCCCATAGATTAATGTGAGACCAGCTTAGCATATTACAGGTCTGCATTTGAACCTCAGCATCATGCAAAATAAATAAGTAAATAAAATTTTAAAATAGAAAACTTAAGCCCTCTACTAAAATGATTTTTCCACCCAAAACAAACGAAAAGGCACTTCTTTGTTCTATTATACTTTTGTGGCCTTATCTGTACAAAATTATTTTCAACTGTTAAAACTTCTAATTTTGAAATTAAGATGCATGCTATTGTAATTATATCAGGCAGTCTTTTGCTTACAGACTACAGCTTCCCTTCCTTTATTCCTGACAACCATTTAGAATTACATGGCTATGTAGCAAAAATATGCTATTTAGATCCTAGATGCTCAAGAATGAATTCTATCTGTACCATTTGCTATCTCTCTAATGTTTGAAAAATTAGTTGGCCCTGTGATTTTCCGAAATATTTTTTCCTGAGAAATGAAGGTTCTTTGTGTTTGAGTTGAAGGAGGGAATTTATAGACTGACTGTGTGAAATGCCTGCTCCTGACTAGGTCTGATGGTCAGGTGAGAGTATGCACTCAAATCAGTGTTTAAAACAAATGTGAGTAATAAAGCACCCCAGGACCTGTCTCTCTTTTTGCACCCCTTTAAGTAGCTAGTCCCTCTGTGTTGAAGCTTCTGCCTTAGTTTTGAACACCTTTGAGTCTAGGCTTTGTGGTAATACAAGCATAAAACAACACTAATTTATGGTTTGCAAAGAAACAAAGGAAAAATTCAAATCAAAACCAAACCAAACAGCCTGTGGTCTCTTATGCACAGTGACTTAAATAAAGATATAAAGTAAACAGCTGAATATTTTCTCTGATAATGTACACTGAATATAATCTAAGAAAATTATATTTGTATATACATTAGTTTGTAGGCGAGATCTACCTTTGTTCCCAGCTACCACTTAAAAGTTATCCCATTCATGAACAGTCGGCTTTACACCACTTTGATAGCATGTGCTTCTACTTCCTGCCTCTAAGTCTTCCTAGGTCAATTTCCTCTCTTTCCTATGGTATTTTTCCTCTCTATTATGTGACAAAATGAAAGACATATGTTCCTCCATGTCTTGTGGCTAACATATTTTGAATCTATGTTCTGCTTAATATACCAGAGCAAGTGTAAATGTCTCTTTTATTTCCTATGGTGAAGGAATGAGATTACCGCTGTACCCAAGCTTTTCAAACAGATGGATTGGGTGGAGCTCTGAACATTTCTAACTGTCCATAGGCCTAGGCCTCAAGCTTCTGGCCTCCATACACTCCAGTCTTCTGCAAATTTATACCTTGCAGGCTTCAGCCTTCAGTCTCCATCTGCTAACCTAGGCCTACACTACTCAGTTCAGCCTCTAAGACCTACTTCTGAGTAAACTAATCCTTTCTAGTTCTTTTTGAACTCTGGCTGGCTGGTTCAATTTAGCTTTCTGGCTCAAACTCCTCTCCAAGTGAGTGATTCAAATTGCCGTATCTCTGCTTCTGACTGATATGTTCTCTTTAGAAAAACGGCTTCTGAACGCCATGAACTGAACTGCAGTGACTTAGTGAACTGAAAGGAATTGCATGAACTCAACTCTACTTCTTTCCCTGAACTACTCTTAAGTAGCCTCTCTTTCCATTCTGTACTAGTAAAAGTAGGGTGTATCTAACTTCAGACTCATTCTATCAAATCTTTCTCTGATTTGTCTTCCCCTCCATTAGACAGCATTGTTTGGGATTAAAGATGTGTGCTAAAGACATGTCTGTATTCTAGAAGGATCACACAGACTTAGGTCTTTGGATATGATCCCTTGCCAGGGTAGCCATTTTGCTGGAGTAAAATTCCTCCACAAGCAGGTTAAAAAAAAAAAAAAAGACCCGGAAAGTCTGAAAAGCCTGACTATTCTGCAGTGGGGTACTATGTCAAGAACCAAAACAGTAACAGCTGTGAACAGCTTGCTTCTTACATATTCTTAATTCATTGCTGTCAAGCTCTTCATGTGAAATAATCTCATCACCTAAAATAAGAGGCTGCTTTGGAAGGAGGGAGTGTGCATTGCAGTGACTGTCATCACCGAGGAAAATGTCAGGCTAAGTGCACACAGCTAGAACCACCTCATTTCCATGCCTTCGCTTTAAATGCAGACACATTGAGAGATTGTTTTAATCAGTATGTACTGATTTTTTTTATAACTTCCCAACTTAATGTCTCTTTTGTTTTATCTCCAGTTGAAAACACAAAAGGTAACTGGTTTCCTCCTCTGCAGGTAGCAAGTGAGGCAGTGCTATTGATGACAAGGTGTTGCTGTCATGGAGAAAAATCACCTTTGCTTTAGAAGCACAAGCTGCCAATCTGGGTCTATTCTCACCTCTGCTGAGAGGAGGCTTTGCAGAGGAACAAAGCACCTGCAACCTTCACACTTCTCATTATTATTTCATTACTCCACCCAAAATTCCCAGGAGATAGAACATTTATTCCTGAGAGAAAAAGTGACTTAGAAGTTAGGTTTTCACAAAGTCATTTTGCAAAGATTGGATATAGAACACAGAAAAGAATATGTGGTCTCGCAAGACGTTTTCCATCACTACTGCAAGGTAAACTGCTCTTAGTAACTCGATTACAAGACACAAATCTCACAATGACAAATCACCTTCCTTTGCAGAAAGATGGCCCTCAGGTATGCACTATATCTTGATGATGCTTTCCTCTAGAAACTACCCACACTAACATGTAATTTGAGATCTTCTATCTGCAGAACTCTGTTCTTAGCTCTGCTGCATATTTATTTATAAAGCACAGACTGATTTCCTAACTTCCATATTTCAAGTAATGAATCCATGTCTTGCAATATTTTCATAAACCTGGTTTTCCTACCATCTAATAATAAGTCCTGAATATGTTTAACTCAATATTTACCAAATAAATTGCATACAAAACCCATAGCACTCATTAGCAAAAACATTAATAACTAATTAATGTTCTAAGTCTTCATAATATTGAAAATGATTTTTGTTGTTGTTTTTGATATTTTTAAGGGTGAGAACTGGTCACTGACCTGACATCCTCGAACACCGAGGACATGTAAGGGCTCCACCACTGTTCTGTATCACTAATCCTAACACACTGGAGGATTTGATATTTCAGAAAGCTATGAATATTTGCGTACTAATGCACCCCATGCATCTAAATTAGCATAGCATTTTATTTCAAAATATTCTTAAGTTATAATCTATCATGTAAGCCTCTTGCTTAGATGAAGAAAGAAGAGTGCTGATGTTCTTTTTATAGTAGTGTTGTGGGCAGAACTCTCAGAATCACTGTTCTTCATTATACTTGTCCATCATAATCCGTGGATATGTAAAGATATTATCCGGCACTCCACAACTAGATTATTATTGAACATGCCACATTTGATGTCTTTAAATAAGATGTCAGATTATTCTCCATGGGTTGAGTTCATAAAAGGGACTGATCCATTCCTGGCAAGACAGATTAGAGATAGCATAAGGATGCCGGTAAAATACCTCACTGGTTTGTTTGCAAACAGTAGATATATAGCAAAAAATGAGGATGCCCTTTAAGGGTAGGGATTTAACAAAGCAATGGGCACTTAGCACAGTCCTGAGAACTTCAGAGTAGTCCAAGGTCCAGGCACAAAGACATCCTGGAAACAGACTGGTTTATGCCGATTCATGTTCTGTAGAGAAACTGAGCACTCAACCACTTCAAATCAGATTTCTCGCCTACAAAATGGGTTTTATTTTGAAATGCCAAATTTGTGATAATTTGTTAAGTGGCATTAGAAGCCTAAAACAAGTAATTTTTAGAAGTTGTGGCTATCCTCAAATAATAATGGTTTGTGATATAATGCTAGAATGCTTGTTTTAGAAAACTATTTTTGTTTACTTATCATTTATTTGTCATAACAGGTTGATTTATACATGAAACTATAAATAATGACTCAAATCCTAATGAACTAAGTGTAAAGACTTTTGTTCCTATAAAAATTAGGGTCATGAGTCTATTTTTGAAAATACTGCAAGAAAGATAAATTTTTGTAAAATTCAGTTTAAAATGTTAGTTAAGGGGCTGACAAGATGGATTAGTGAGTAAAGGAGCTTGTAGCCAAGCCTGATGAAATGAGTTTGATCACTGAGCTCACAAAGTAAAAGGAGAGAACCTACTTCTACAAGTTTCCTTTGAACTCTAAATGTTCTGAGGCACATCTGTGGTGCACATGCACAGAGATAATTGAACACACATATAATCAATCAATAAATAAATAAATAAATGCAATACAAACATATAATTTAGGAATTTTGAGTTTCCTAAATATTTTATTTTACTCTTTCCTAAAGATATTTTTCTTTTATTTTTGAGATTTTAATATAATCACATCATTTCCCCCTTTCCTTTCTCCTTACAAACACTCTCATACACCCCCTCTTTGCTCTCTTTCAAATCCATGACTTTTTCACTAATTGTTATTACATGCATCTATGTATATATGCTAACTCGGTGTAATGCTACTGACATGCATGTTTGCATTGTGTGCATTATGTTGTCAGGAATGACTATTTGGTGTTAGATGACCCAAATACATTTTAAATGATTTCTGTTCTTCTCTGACCATTTTCCCTCCAGTGCCTCTTTTTTTTCTTTTTTGTTTGTTTCCTTTCTTGGACTTCTACCCTTGAATTTTCTTTCTCTGTGATCCCCCCCTCCTTTCTCTTGAATCTTATTCTTAGGAATTCAAGCACCTTATCTAAAGTAATAAGTGAAAGTCTAATAGAATAAAAGAGAATCTACCGAGGTCGATTTTCCTCCCTGCCAGATTTCCTACCTCTCATAGACAAGGAGGTGAATGATATGTGCTCATCGTCCATGATCTTCTGTCACTACTCTACCTCATCATCTTCTCCTTGCTAGGACAGAGTATGCATCTGTCTTAGAAAAGTCAGCCTTACTGCTTTCCCTAAACGTCTCCAAATCCTTCAATGATCAGATCTCTTTCCGGTCTTGGACTTCCCCTCAGTATGTTTTCTCTGACACTCCTTAGTTTACCCATGATGATTTCACATGCTTGTGTTCTTCTCCTACCATTTTTTTTTTGGATTATCTCCTTTAAAACATATTCCCATTATACATACTGCCTTTTTTCCAGTATATGTTTCATGTTGTCATTGAAACATATTTGATACCATCATTAAAATGTTTCATATTATTTTAAAGCCTAATGAGAGAACTTATTTTCAAGTCATAATCTTCATTTGTTACACAGACTTCAATCATGTACACTTGTATTTCTCAGTATTATGATTATTAACTTTCCCTATTTTATACTTCCTTCATAATATTAGTCATTTTCCATACAATTATCAGTTCTGTTGTTGCTTCTTTCTGTGGGTAGATTTCTTCTGTTTCTCTAAGATGGACTCTGAGACCATTAATCTTGGTTGTAAATTTGATGAGATCTAGAATGAGGTAATGTCAGAGACCAGGACCCCTAACAGGGACCCCTGCCAGCCTTCCCCCTCGCCTGGAAACCGAAGCCTTGTCACCCACCTACATCCTGTTCAGTTGAATACCTTGACTATGCCTCATCCTGCTGAAAGCTGATGCACAAAGAGATAGCTACTTCTGAGAAAAGCCCCTAACCACAAAATGTTCTAGGGCACAGGCCAAGAAGAAGCTGTACCTTTCCATGACCCCACCTGCCTTCCCCCTCCCCTAACCCGAGCTTGTTATAAAAAGCTTGCCTTTTTTAAAATACACGGCTCTTGACAAGCAACCGTTTGCTTCGGTCCTTCCTTTCTCTCGCCCGTTTCTCTTCCAGGTTTTGGTTCCCCTCGCCCCCACGAATAACCGAGACCCGCAGGCCGGGACAAGGTAAGACAGTCACCTATGAGTGGTCTGTTAGAGTATATCCCGGAAACATAGCAGAGGGGCCATCTTGCAGTGTGGGAAGCACCTTCTGGTGATTGTGCAGATATGGAAAGGTCTAAGGAAGATTAGTGCTGCATCCAGCTGCTGTAGGCCCTTACAAGTGAGTCCACTCTGAGATGTTGCTGCTGTAGTCATTCAATGATAGGAGAACCCTTTGGCTTTCCAATATGGACTAAGCATCAGTGGCTCCCCAGGTATCTATCTTCTAGCCTGCATAGTCAGGTTATGGCAGCTGAGGTGCTTGTAATATTGACTGTGCAGCTTCCCCATTTGCAAATATCCACCACTGGACTATCTGCTGTTTAAGCTAATCTAATAAACACAATTATTCCAATTCTGTTTTTTCTAGAGAAACTAACTAATAGATTCTTTTCCAGTCAAGTCATTTTCTTTCAAGGTGTACAGAGTCACCAGTCGCATTTCTTATATGACATTGCCTTGTTTGAATTATTACGTGGGTCTGAACACGTCACAATGAAATCCATTATTTGTCATTAATATCAACTAACACAATATAAGTTCTCTCTATATATTCAATCTTCTTTTTCTTTTCTTTCTCCCTCTCTTCCTTCACCCAACATCTCTCTCCTCTCTTTGATATAAAACTAGTGATATTCAGATCAAGATCAAAATTAATTAAGAATCTTTAGAGAGAAAAATATAAAGCATCCACCTCAGATTTAAAATTTTAATATGAAATCTGGAGGGATGGGTCTCCCCTTATCTTTTCCATCATCATCAACAACAAAATATCTATTTTAACATGGGAACACTGGAGAGGAAAGAGGAAATAAGACTAGTGTTATAATAGCTACAATGTACAGAGGTATCAGGTCCTCTGGGAAGTTAGTCTGAATTCATCTACTGACACAGCTTTCCTAGCTCTTTACTGTGTGAACTAAATCCTAAGAAATTGAAGGTGAGTAGGGAAACCTATAACTACTCAATCTAGAACGGAACACCTCCTGTCCAGGAGCAACAGGAATTAGAGGACTCTGTCATGCTGTGTGCCAATCTAAACAACAACAACAACAACAACAACAAAAGAGAGACCACAAAAATTAAGAGGCATCCTTTAAGAGTAGAACATTACTGTTTTGAGATATAGAGTGAAATATTTTCCTTTATAGAAGTTTAGAGGGACAAGGAAGAAGTCTCAACTGAAAAAAACCCTGTCGAGTAGAAAGAAGCTGTGGTCATGTCTATTATGGTATCCTCTGTGTATGACTACTTTCTGTAGAGATTGTAAGCTCAGTACACATAATAGTTGGGTCTACTTTAAAAGGCAAGTTCCCTCGACTTGCTGAGTGCTTGTACAATTATTTAGAAATTGAATAAATAATTGAAGGCATGTGAGCATGATGACTTAACCATTTGTCAGAAGTACTCAATGGACTCTCTGTATGAACTGCTAGGAAGTATTCATTCTAACCTGAGTAAAGTATATATCACAAGGAAATTGGATGATAAAAATTTCCTATTATATGCATTTTTCAATGAATGATTTCTGTATGATTAGTAAGTGGGGATAGCAATATTCCGAGTTAATGGTCTCAGGAAGAATAGGAAAAAAAAAAGATAAAAATTGAAATCAAGAGTTTCACTTTTCCTGCTCTGTGTCATTTGGCAAAGCACAAATACGTTTTTCTCATTGTGAACTCTTTGCCTTTCTGCTGTTTTGTAGGTATTAAAAGAATTTTAATAAGTACAAATAAGTTTAGTCATTTAGGGGCTTACTGAGTACTCCCTAACATGTGTTACTCTGGTCTCCAAGAACACCTGCGCTCATGTGTACATACTCAACCACCACACACTAATAATTAAAAATTGAGAAAATTGATGTTTACAAAACAAATTAAATCAAAGAATTTTCAACTAAAGTCAGCAAGGTGGCAATTTTAGCATCACAGGACTATGAAAAGTGTGTTATACTTATTTTCTATCTTTTTCTTTTCTTTTTTTCCAGAAAGAAAAGTAAAGGGAAAAAATTGTTCGTTGAAAAGCTTCTTATAAAATCACAAAAGAAAGGAGGGTGAAGGCCAATATTTATACTTCTAGCAATCTATCTTCCATTTCAGCAGTTTTGCAAACACTTTTCCAATATTTAAGCTTTCCTAATGCATAGTTTCCTACTTTGAATGGGCATAATCATTATGTATTCAGCTTTCAAAACTTCAAAATTAGCCACACCCTTTGAAAAATATTTAAAATGTATAGAAATACATCAAGGAAGAAGTAAATAGATACTTAAGTGGGACAGTACATATATATTTATTTTACGCTTGGGAAAATGAGCATATTTTATAAAGCTCCATGACATAGACTATATATTTTAAAACATGACTGACAATATATTTTTTCCAGAATATTAGATCACAAAACTGATAATAGAAAAGCATTTACCTCTTTTTCCAACATCAAGCCTTCTGCTCTCAGGTTCTTTTCAAATGTGTTTCTTTTATCATATTGTATATTTGTTTTTCGATAAACGAGGATGTAATCAATTCGCTTTTTGCCATCTTTGAATAAGAGTCCACTGGATGCTATGTAATTCATGTCATTCTGTGGGAAAATAGACATTGGTTATTATGTAAGTTAGATAATCATGCATGCTGGTTATAGGCTGTGATAAACCAAACCAGAAAGATCTGTGTTTCATACTCCTACTGAGATGTATGGAAGATAGTTCAAGCTAGTCTGCAATCTATGATAGGATACAGGCTAGCGAGTTTGTAATTTGATGGCTCATCTCTGAGTTGGTCTATGTATTATCCAATAAGGCTCTGTAGCAAAAAACAGCAATTATGTCTTTTATATTGACTAAACCATGTCAACATGTAATTGTTTTCATGTTATCATGCTCATTCACAACTTACATTTCAAAGATAAAGACACTATGACTGAAAGAAATGAAACCAACATAATACCATGTATTGTTTAAAACTCACACAAATCACTTCTTTTCTAAACCTTTGTTCAATAATGCTGAGACCAAACAATAATTCCTGAACTGCAAGCCTAGGAAAATGTTTGCTCTTAGGCTATGACTGCAAAGTGATGGAAATAGCTCTCATTAAATCTCAAAGCTAGCTAATCAAGACTGGCTGAAGATGCTGAGGAGGCGGCTCAATGTACAAAAATGCTTGCTGAGCATCCCTCAGGAACTGAGTGTGGATCTTCAGAACTCATGTACAATACAGGCACAAAAATGCATTCCTCAGTGACCCCAGCATGCCTCAATGTGGAAATGGAAGGAAGAGACTGAAGAGTTTTCTAATTTTCTGGCAAATGCAGCAGCAAAGACAAAAAAAGTCTTTTTCAAACAAGATGGAACCATCAGGACTGAGGTTTGTCCTTTAACTTGTTCACTGTAGCACTCATGTGCACTCCTTATACCTACTCACAGCAGTTCGAAGGATCTCATGTTGCTGTTGTTATTATCTGAAGCTATTTTTATAAACTGGCGGATTTTCAGCTAGCTATCTTCCTTCCAGGATTCATCTTAAAATATCTTAACCAGCTGCCCTGAGCAGATTGCTGTCCCCACCTCCACCACCACCCCAAGGAGGCTCCATTGTCCTGCTGCCCTGAGTTACATGCTGCACCACCCCCTCCATTGTCTGTTCACCACTCCACCAGCCTTCACCAGACTTGTTGCACCAGTAACATCCAAATTACATCGCTTTGCACCACAATCCCTTGCCAGCCAAGTCCTCATGTCTAAGGGCAGCATGCTCAGCTGCCCTCAGACATGCAATGACCCCTGAATATCATTGTCTAGTTCAAGGCTGCCTGTCTAAGGCCTGCTACACCAGAAACATGCAAGTTAGTCCTGCCTTCTTGAGACATGCTACAACAGGAACATCCAGGATCAACCAGATGGCTAAAGGCCAACATATAAACATAATTAATAAAAGCCAGGGCAATTAGGCACCTCCCTATGTTGTAGTAATTAATTAAAATCAACCTCTGGTCAAGCCAACTATCTAAGCTGTGGTGGCTCTGTGTAGCTTAGCCGCCATGTTTCTCGGCCAGAGGCCACAAGGGCAGCAGCTAGAATCGGCCAGCCAGAAACACCAGCCCTGCCACTCACGAGACACCAGAGTGGGAGATGGCTCTGCCAATCTTCCATGCTGTCTCCACAAGGCTGGGCATTGCCCAGACCATTTAGCCATCCATTTGGACCCAGTAACTGAATGAGACTCTAATTCTTATAGATTAATCAAAGGTTTTATATGTTTGGTAATGATTAATAACAAGATGCCCACATAATCAGAAGTGTAACCCAATACCCAACCTAGACATACCAACGACCTTTGGCTACTACAGACACGTGAACATGCGCCTCCATTGCTCCTATATCTCTCTCTCTTTCTCCTCTTCCTTTTCCTCCTCTCCTCCTTACTCCTCTTCTTCCTCAACTAACTCCTCCCACATTAGCTCCTCCCACAATCCTACTACAGCAAGCCCTGGATATCCTAACACAACCAACGCACAAGGAAACGACCTTAAATCTAATCATATAAAGATCTGCTGTAAACAAAACAAACAAACAAACAAAACATATCTCAGCACCAAAGGTAGACATTACCTCAGAGCAAAGGGTTGGAAAGAAGTTTTCTAAGAAAATGAACCTAGGTGTCAAGCTGGAGTAGCTATTGTAATATGTAATGAAATAGACTTTCAACCAAAATTAATAAAAAGCCATTTGGAAGAACACTTATATTCATCAAAGGAAAAATTCATCAAGATGATGACTCAATTCTGAAAATCTATGCACCAAATACAAGGCACTTTTATTTGTAAAAGAAACATTACTAAAGCTTAAATTGCACATCAAACCCCACACATTAATAGTGGGAGATTTCAAAACCACACTCTTATCAATAGAAAGGTCATCAAGACAGATACTGAACAGAGAAATAGTGAAACTAATAGAGGTTATGAATCAAATGGACCTAACAGATACCTACAGAATATTTCACCATAATACAAATATATATATATATATATCTTTTCAGGAACACATGGGACCTCCTCCAAAGTTGACCATAAAGTCAATGGCCACAAAACAAGCCTCAACAAATACAAGAAACTTGAATCAACTTCATGTATCTTATCAGACTACCAAGGATAAAGCTGGAGGTCAACAACAATAAAAACAACAGAAAATTTACAAAGTCATAGAAACTGAATCTCTACACAATGGTCACTGAGTCAGGAAGAAAAAAATGAAAGAAATTAAAGGCTTTTTATAATTCAATGAAAATAAATGCACAACATACCCGAACTTATGGGACACAATGAAAGCAATGTAAAAACGAAAGTTCATAACCCTAAGTACCTACAAAAAGAAACTGGAGAGATCTTATACTAGTAGCTTAACAGCACACTTGAATGTTCTAGAACAACAACAACAACAACAACAACAAAAGCAAACACACTCCAAGAGGGGTAGATGGCAGGAAATATCAAACTCAGGGCTCAAATTAGAAACAAAGAGAACAATACAAAGAATTAACAAAACCAACAACTAGTTCTTTGAGAAAATCAACAAGATAGACAAACCCTTAGCCAAACTAACTAAAAGGCAGAGAAACAGTATCCAAACTAACAAACTCGGAAATCAAAAGACATAATAAACAGACACTGAGGAAATCCAAAGAATCATCAGGTTCTACTTCAAAAAACCTGTATTCCACAAAACTGGAAAATCTGAATGAAATGGATGATTTTCTAGATATATACCACTTCCGAAAAATGAAATCAAAATAAACTGTTTTCGATAGTCCTATAACATATATAAGTATATATTATGATATCCCCTACATAAGTAGAAGCAGTTATTATAAGTCTCCAACCAAAAAATCCCAGGGCCAAATGGTTTTAGCAAGAAATTCTACCAGACCTTCAAAGAAGAGCTAATACCAACACTCCTCAAACTATTCCACAAAATAGAAGCAAAGGAACATGGCCAAACTCGTTCTATGAGGCCACAGTCACCATGATGCCTAAACCACACAAAGACTCAAAAAAAGACAATTTCAGACAAATCTTCTTTATGACATTGACACAAAATAGTCAATAGAGTATTCGAAAATGGAAACCAAGAACACATCAAAATCATCATTAGCAATGATCAAGTAGGTTTCATTCCAGTAATGCAGGGGTGGTTCAATATATGAAGATACACCAGTGCAATCTATCATATAAGCAAATTTAAAGAAGTAATCCATATGCTCATCTCATTAGACACTGAAAAAGTCTTTGATAAAAATTTAACATCCCTTCATGTTAAAAGTCTTGGAGAGATCAGAGACACAAGCACATAAACAAACACAACAAATGTTTTTACAGCAAGACAATAGTCAGCATCACATTAAACGGAGAGAAACTTAAATCAATTTCACTAAAATAAGGGACAAGGTAAGTCTTTCCATAGTAGGTGAAGCTTTGACAGTCTTGTGGAAGAGTGGCAGGAAGCATGAGGGAGCTAGAGAAGTCAAGGACACCACAAGAAAACCTACAGAGTAAATTAACCTGGGCCCATGGAGGACCACAGAGACTGAACTAGCAACTAAAGAGCAGGAAGGGGCTGGACCTAGGCCCACTACATAGATGTAGCAGATGTGCAGCTCATTCTTCATGTGGATCCCTTAACAATTATAGTAGAGGTAGAGTGAAGGGGCTGTCTCTGACTCTGTTGCCTGCCTTTGGATCCCTTTCCCAAAGCTGAGGTGCGTTGTCTGGACTCAGTGGGAGAGGATGCCCTTAGTTATGCTTCAGCTCGAGGTACCAGGATGGGTTGATACCTGTGAGGGACCACTCATTCTCTAAGGAAAAGGGAATGGGTGAATGAGGGAATGGAGAAGAGGAAGAAGATGTGAGGGTAGGATTGGTAGGAGTAGGGATGCAATTAAGGTGTAAAGTGAATTAATAATTTAATGAAGAAAAACATATCTTATCTAATGTTCTGTAATGCTCTGACAACAACTTTACAGCATTACCTTCTTAAAATACTATGAAGACCATATAGGTTGTGCCACGATCTTTTTCATTATATTTTTATCATTTAAAATAATTTCTTAAATTTAAATATGTTTTGATTATATTCTTCCCCTCCCCTAAATTATTCCAGGCCCTCTGTACATCCCTACTCACCCAACTTGAAGTTCTTTCTCAAAAAACAAACAAACCCGATACAAGAACCCCCAGTAGTCCCCCCTCCAAAGTACCCAAAAACAAAATGCTCCTACAAACTGTAATCAAATAAAAGGACACAAAAAGCCATGATGTCCAATTATATGTTGACCAGCCAATCCTGAACCTGAGGCCTGTCTTGAGTAATTAATGCCCCGAATGTCAACCAGGAAAAACTAATTTCTCTCCCAGAAGTTATAAGTGGCAGTTCAATTGTTAACCTTCACATTGACAGGTAATTATTCATTCTTTCTTTCATTCATCTATTGATTTCATTCATTCAATTTTGTAAAAACAAATATCAAAATAAAATGTCATAAGGTGAAACAAATCTGTTCAACATTGGGCAAGACATAAATTGC